TGTAGTACATTAGTAAGTATAAAATAGAATTAATTGGTATACAAAGAAAACAGTGCAGCTTCTACCTTTGTTAGGTCTGGGTCTGCTCGTATAGGCAAGGGAAGGGAATGGAAGTCTTTTGTGTCCAATATACGGCGTCGACTTTGTGTCTAAAACGTGCCGGTTCCTTCACGATGTTTTTCTTCACCGTACGAACGAGATTAAAGTGCACACATAGGCAGAAAGTCTATTAATGCACAGACGGGGTTCAAACCTACAACACTACGCTTGAAGGATGGCAAAAATAATATAAAATCTAGAGCTTGAAGGTTAAGCTTAATAAATCAAGAATAATAATGCATGGCACATACTGTCATATTTATTTATCATCCTTTATTTTATTCGGATAAAAATCGAGAAAGCGAGTGGTGTTGTATGGCAATAAATAAAATAGTCGCGTGAAATGCAAGACGCTTCGTTGAGACGTGGATCTGATAACTGGGAGTCAATATTTCGCGACGCGCCTTGGGCGTTTAGGGTTGTCACCTAAAATATGTAAGAATTCTTTTATTTTATTTGGAACTATTTTTTATATAAAATATTTCCAATGAAGGGCATCTGAAGGATACATATTGAGTAGACAAAAAGTTCAGTGTTCATTCTTGACACTGTCGTAAACGACACTGCCATCAAGATCAGAGTATCATTTATTCATGTAGGTATATGTAAACTTATGAAAGTCAGTAAAAAAATAAAAAAACAGAAAGTAAAAAAAAATATGTTTCTAAATTTGCTTAAATCAAGGCCGTAGAACGAACGACAAGAACTGGCATTATACTCTCCGTCATTCTTTTTAATCCCCAAGGTTTGAGGTGTCTTTTTTCTGGTATTTAAACTTGATGCTTGTGGCTGATCCGACATATAAAGCTAATGATTGTTAATATTGACAGCCCTATTCGAGATAAGTGGGTGTCGGCTTTCAGTATCGTGTCGACAGCATTGTCAATGGATTAGAAACTAGTAAACACCGCCTTATAATGTGCCTTCCTTCGAAATCTTGTTTCAAATTCATCTAAGCGTAAATCAGACAATGTTACAAGATGTTACACACGGCTGACATAAACGGAAATACGTCGTAAATCTTTGTATTTGAAGAAATTTATTTGTCCAAGAGATGAAGCTTATCACCTTTACTGATTACATATCACGCCTGGTAACTGCCATTAGTTCTTAATCAATGAAATCATTTATTCATATAGGTAACAAAATGTACACTTATGAACATCAATAAAGAAATACATATGAAATGCTTCTAATTTTACATTTACTGCCAGTTCTCAAATCAAGGGAGTAGAACGGCAAAGAAGAACTGGCAATAAATTCTCCGCTCGTTTTAATTGCCAAAGTTTATGTTTTACTCAAAGTTTGTAAAGAGCTGCAACCATTACACCATTTTCCACATGACATCTTAAGTAATAAATAATAATAAAATAAATTAAAAACGAAGATTTGTCCTCTATCAGCAGGAGGCATGGTGAAATAGGAGCACACACTCACATTCTCGTATTTCTCGTCAATAGCTGCGCTAATCGATTTCCATCCACTATTTTGACCTATGTCTGTTACTACATTGATTTTTGAAGTTATACTTCTTTAGGCGCGTTATGAAAAATTTATGAGAGTGAAATTTTACGATGCGCGCGCACTGTGACACAAAATTATCAGTATGGGCGCCGAGCGTGCGTGAGCAAGATGGGAATAAGACAATCTACATGTCAAAAGAAATAGAATATGCGTGACGTAAGCTGCTATGCCAAGAATTTTGAATGACCAAAATGACATTTGTAGTACCTTTTAAACAAATAAAGGAGTTTTAATTATTTTTTCAAAGAAATTTACCAATATTTTTTCACAAAGACCTATTGTTACTTAGTTAAAAGGTTATGAAACCTACCTAGTTATTAAATTGAATTAATAATATAATAAATAATAATTATTATTAATATTAATTAATAATTGAATAATATACTAAATATTAAATATTGTTAAATTATTAACGCTAAACATTTATTATTAATTATTAAATATTTATAAAAAATAAAGAAAGCCAAAGAAGTATAACTTGTTACGCGCGTACATAAGTACCTACACGCACCATTTTTTTTATTGTTAGTGCGGACAACTACTTTTCGGACTAAATGGAATTGGTTAACATATTCACTATAGAAACTATCGACATTCATCGTCCTTCTATATAAACAAAGATAAATTTCCACTTAAAGCGAAATTTGAAGCACCATTTCGTGTGTATATTCAGGAATTCCTACAATATTGCGGTTGCGAATTGATAGACGCGCTCGAAGACGATTGATACACCCATTGTAGTCCTCGTTCCTACAAATTGTAGGGGACGACAATGAGATATGGAATGAAGGATAGATAGCGTTTTATTTCATTTAAATTCCTTATATAGATGTTGGTACGTACAAAAGTATTTATTTTATATCAGTAACGAAACAAGTATGTTTAAATTGGCTCAACTTCTGCGTCCAATAAAAGAAAATAATAAAATATTAAGAAAATTGTGAGGTTTTATAGATGAGAAATTTTTGTTTTCTTCTGCGCGTATTTGCTATCAGGCCTAAGGCTATGAGTGAATCTGTGCTGTGGTGCTGTCATGTGGAGTGGCTTCCCATTGGAAGCATCTCATCTACTGCCTAGAGCTGCTGTCGGTCTTCTAGATCTAGAATAGTGTGAAGTTTTAGTCGTCTCACATACTGTTCTATGGTGAGTTGTCAAACGTTTGGATGACAGATTAACCGCTCTTTGTATTTAGCTGCTAATCTCCAGATTTCTTCCTGGAATGTTCTCGTTGAGATGAGAAACTAAAGATTTAAAATAATAAGCTTCTAATAAAGATACTAAAGATTTAAAATAATAAAGAAATGTATTCTAGTTTTCTATAGTAAGGCATTCAGACAAAACTATAGAGTAAGCATTTACTTTATATAACTAATACTGGTAACTCAGAAGTATCCTGGTTTTGAATGATATGTGTTTAATTAAAACGGAAAAATTTAGTAGTATAGCTCTCTGCCTATGGGGACAAGATGGGTATTGTGTATAGGGCGCTGTGAATCGATCAGCTATTAGCTGAGATGGAGCGAGCTATTATGTCCACGTCATACGTATATGTGATATATATATATATATAGGTTAAGTCGACTCCTACGAAATAAATAATTCTTTTCAATAATCATATAATATAGGGTTTTCGAAATCTTCAAAACTCTGTTCTTTAAACATAGATCTAACACCCGTCAATAATTTTAAATAGTGTGCTTTAACAATCGTTGCTAACTTTGCATTCGTTGTTAGTACACAATATTTTTATTTGTAAACAAAATGATATTCCAAATAGGTTCTAATAACCTTGTCCCACTAACCTAGTAAGATTCAATATGAACGCAGAATCAATGTCTTACAAGTTATGAGAAACTGATACGAATTGATTTTGTTGCTTAACTGAAAGTCCGTAATAAGTATGAAGTTGTTGAAAGGAACCTGAAGTGTACTAAAAATTATTAAAAACTTTTAAATACGATATGGTTCTCACATCTGGGCGGGAGCTCCCCAGTACCTTCTACTTTACTACGACGAAGAGCGATTCGAATCGTCAACGACCTTTCAGAGTAGTTTGATCCCTTGGCGTTGAGTAGAGATGTGGGGTCTGCATCTTTACTATGGAGAATATTCAGAAGATTTTTTGAATTAATATTAATTAGTACTTCCAGTTGAATTGTATCATCGGCTGTCGAGCTTGAATATGAAAATATATATTTTTTTAAATGAATACACACATTGTAAAAAATATTTCCTTGTATTAAAAGACTATGATGAATGTATATAATGCTACTGGGCTATTATATTATAATCCGTGATATATATAATCCTTGTTTTATAATACTATAAAACACGGATTTAAGGTAGTTTTGAACAGATAAGAAAAGTAAACTTTGAACAAATGTGCAATTGCCCTTGATATATGTTTTAAGTTCTGTGTGTAGTTAACTAAAATATCGCTTTTGATATTCTCTCTTACTATAGAGCATAAACGTGTTTACTTCATTACGACTTTTTGAAAGTTCAATCGCAACCAGACCTTTCAGTTCGAAGTTTAGCATTAAGTTGCATAAGTCTTATTCAAATAGAAATGTATTGATAATTATACAAGTTTCTACGTCAATTCTACCGAGTTCGAATACAAATTGGACGTTTGGTAGCGAACCAAACGCGTTAGTTAACAGATCCCTGTAATTTTGTCAGTCATCCTTACTGGCGAAACGAGTGGGTGGGTTTAACGAGTTGCCTGCAATCAATTTGTAGGATACGGTGAATGTTGATACGTATTTCTGATGTTCACGTGATTTATGAATAGAACATGTGCTTAGATATTGAATGCTTACAATTTGAAGTTAGAATATTAATCGATAGAAAAAGCCATAATCAAGATATATAAATATTTAAGATATTGCAATTTTCAATTTAAGTGTTAAAACTATAAATATACTAGCTGATCCGGCAAACGTGGTTTTGCCATGAATATCATTTATAATAAAAAATAGGGGTTGATCGTAGAGGGGTGAAAATTAGGGGTTGTATGAATTTTTTAATGCTGTATCATAAAAAAATAAAGAATATTTTTTTTATCTAAAATTAAAAAAAAAAATTGTGGTGGACTACCCTTAACATTTAGGGGGATGAAAAATACATGTTGTCCGATTCTCAGACATACCCAATATGCACACAAAATTTCATGAGAATCGGTCGAGCCGTTTCGGAGGAGTTTAACCACAAACACCGCGATACGAGAATTTTATATATTAGATGATATTTCATAGGTTGGTCATCGAATAACGATTTATCTTAAAATTAGGTTCACACATCTATGCACTCAACAACAACATCCTCCACACATGATTTATTCCCATATTTAGAAAGCAGAGTTTTATTACGGCGAAATGAACGCTACCGCACTGGTATGTATTGCTCGATGATGTACTGTCATTTTGATTTGCCTATTTTAGCAGTTAATATTTATTTTCTATCAATCAAACTGACAGTTGGTATGCTTTTTGAAATAACATTGTTCCGCCAGCTTATCACTTCGCTTTTTAATACATAGATGTCACTACAGCTTGACTATTAACATTACAGTACACAAGAAAATTGAGGTTTACCACGACCCAAATGATTGCATCTAATTTAGTAGCTTATGATATAATTTTCTCTGAAATGTCTGTGGTAAATTACTTTTTTCCTCGAGTACAGTTTATTATAAGCATTATTAATATTATATTAAGTAATATTCTTCCATGCACATATGAAACTAAAGACAAACACACTCTTAAAAAGGTCTCGTTTGAGGACATTAATGGAGCGTATAACAGAAACAGAAGAGAAAGCAAGCAGACAGACATGCAGAGATACACAGACACTAAAATTGTCTCAGAAAACACAGATGACGACAAATGGATATACAATTTTACATTTGTTATATTTTATTTGTATTTTTGTAGCTTTCGTGGAATTGGCATGCACCGTTAACGCTATGCGAGGTGACAGAGATAGTATTGGGTATAACGAATGACGAAAGGATGAAATAAGAGTGTGTTCGTCTTTTATATGTGCAGGGAAGGCACGCGGTCCGCGCGGATGTCGCGACGATACGGACTCGGTCGGACAGCGGTAAGTCTACAGTTTGTTGAAAATGTTAAAGATGGTGCTAGACTTACTAACTGAATGACGCGCTTCTTATTGGATAGATTTTAGTGCTTACATGATTTAGAAGTTTTCGTCCTCAGTAAAAAATCAATTTGAAGGTTAGATTTAATGATATCCCCAAGCTCATTTGTAAAGCAAAGTGTACAATCAAGAAACTTTGGACACATCTGCTTTTGACTGAATTTAAAGTATTTTTCATTATACTTTGTGGCTGTCGAAGACTTAGTATGTTCGTGATTTTTTGCTAAGCATGGCAGTATTAGAACGACTTTATTATAAGCCACTTATTTTGATTAAATTTTGGTAAATTAGAAGAAGTTTAAGCTATAATTTAATTAGTTAAATTTCCCACGCCCACAGCGGACTAACCGAAATAGCATAGATAATTTATACAATACAAAGTAGCTTTTATTCAAATTCATTTTATTTTTTTCAGTGTCGGATGAGGGACAACCACAACAGCGCAGCGCGCCTCTGTTGCAGTCACCACAATACACTGGCGGCAGACCACAACCCTACAGTAAGTAACCTTAATAAAAAAAATAAGCATGCATTGATTTCAAATGAAACCAACTTTGTTGTTTAGATTAATGATACAAAATTTTCTTATAAGTATTTATAGTATGTAAAAAATAAGAGTTATTTTACTTAGGATTACTTATTTTAAATTAAATGTTTTACACGTGTTTATGAATGTATCTTTCTCTATATTTTTTTTTTAAGTTTATCTAAAAACGAAACGAATATCATCAGAGGTTAATTTTCGTAAAAGCTTTCTGCTAAAATAGTCTGAATATTCAGTTGCACAAAATTAATACGCAGAAATAACACGCGCATAGTTTTGAATTATTATCAAAACAAAATTACTAACGTGGCATAGAGTAATCTCCAAAGCAAATACAGAGAATACAAGATGAAAACACGTTGAGATTTCATCTCGCATTCTGAATAGTGGCTTAAAATACCGCGGAGTGATGTGAGGGCTTAAATGTGAATGGATTTAGGAATTTTAATTCGTGTACATGAGTAACTAACTATTAAAGTAACATGAATATCAAAAAGTTTATATTTCTAAGAAGTTTTAGTCTCAACGGCCAAACTTGCAATTATAATTTCACCTTAATCTGCTGAATACTTCTGGTTTATGCAGACGTACAACGTAAATGTTCAAATTGATAACAAGAGGAAACTCCAACTGACCAACTGAAAAAATTTCAAGTTTCTTTTTAGCTCTGTGTAAATAAACCAGTTAACACAAACATAATATCTATATTGACAAGATAATCTAGATAATACTGTTCGCGTGTTATGTGTTGAATAAAAAACATTTTACCTGTTAATTCAGTTAAATACCATAAACATGAGAAAATGAGCAATGAACCTGATAAAATTTAAGACGTAAAATAGATTATAGTATTTTAGTTTTACCCTGACTATGGCCAAGCAAAAGCTCGTACGTCTAAATATATTTCTTTGATAAATCTTACTGTTGGTAACTCGTAAAAAAAGATATTTCTTACATGTGCTTACTCATAGGCACGTACCTAATTGTTGTAACTTGATATGGCACGAAATAAGGCAATGCGTGAAAGAAATTGCCGGGAGTGAAATTTACTGAAAAATTAGAAAGATAAAAGTTAAGTGAATTTAAGTGTCCCTTCGGAGAGAATAATTTACCCGACATGAATATTTCATACAAAGGTACGTGCACATTTTACTGGCAAAAATTTCGTCATGGTTTGGTAATTGTACTGTCGATTTCCATACACTATGTGAGCTAAAGAATCTTTTAAATCACAAAAGCTATAGAAATGTAGTAGATGTTGATGTAAGAAATATATTCTATCTTTTATTGGAGCTGCGTAATATATTGTATTTAAATTTGAAGAATTTTTAAAACATAATTCAACTTTATAGAATTACTTCTCAAAGGCAATCACTATTCCGTTCCCAGAATAGTTAAGGAATTGAATTTCAACGTAATAGAATACGTCAGAAAAACAACGCAGCTACCTCAAAACGAGTAGGAAAGTAGGTCGCTTCAGAAATACGATAATGCCACGCGACTGAATGCGTCCGTTCGGTGTGAAAGCTCGGTGTGAAATGATGCGAAAGCCGTATAACGCTTCGAGTGCTACCCACTTTAAATATTTCATTGAGCCAGGATTGACGCTACAGTATATAGAACTCATAGTAGACGTAAAACTTTGTAACTTAGCGAAGCAATATTGAAAGTACATAACGAGTAGAGATATGGAAACGTTCGTTTGAAAACTTTGAATTTGAATAATATATATGAACTTATATGAATTATTTTATGATTTAACTTTGAGAATATGTTACATTTTTACGTGTATTAAACCGAGGTATAAAGAGGGGCGACAATGCCACACTGCAAATCTTCTAAAATTTGCTCTGGCAACTTGTATGCTATATACTCTGTGGTAATGATTCAATTGAAAATTTACTGCGTGAGACCTAGTCTTCCATATAGCCTTTCCCGTCTCTCGAATTAAACTTTTTTTTTTACTTTTTGTTCACGGTCAACGAGGACAATTGGCCTAATTGGCTTGTGCCGGACCGACTCGTTATAGAAGGAAGCAAAAAATGGAAATACCAATTTGATTTTTAATCCATACAGCTTTGTTTTTACCCTCGCTGTTGAAGATTCGTAATTTCGCTTCAGTTTCATGTCAAAATGTCGTGTTGCAGTTTACCAGGATGAAGTTTTAATTTTCTTCAATTATTATTTTGTAAACTAAAGCTTCGATTATGATGACGGCGGTGTTGGTTCATTTGTGGTGTGTATATTGTTGCCACTAAAGTTACACCTTTCGGATTCTGCGTTAGTCGGTTCATTCCTTCGTTCTGAATTATATTTAAAAAAAATAGTTAGTCTTAAGATTTATTGACTCCGGTTTCAAATCTATTTAAGCCCTAACACGGTTCCAATTCGCATAAAAATTGTGTTAACATACATAATATATTATTCAACCAAAATTCCGGTTTCAGTACCCTCGGAACAATATTACTTAGTAAAGGTGTATTCTATTCAAAATGTTGTTAAAAGTATACAAATAAAATATTTTTAATACTAAAAACTGAAAATTACCACAGTAGCGCATTTAATCAGATTTTTAAACCAACAAATACGAGTGCCAAGCATAATTTGCTTTGTATTCAAATGATAAATACGAAAAACGTTTAAAAAAGCTTTGCCGAGCTTTTCAACTAAATAAACACGAAAATGAAAATTATCAAAAGCGTCCGAAAGCTATTCTAGTGTTGGCGTTCGTTTAAAGTTTGCGTGTTTTTTAGATTTCGTGTAACGTTTTTTGAAACGATTTGGGATAACAAGCGCGATTCGGCTGTTTTTTAAATGATTTAAAACGAATTCACGAAATTAAGGTCTTAGCAAAATTAGCACAAAATGTTTTTATCTGTTATTATAGTATCTGTACCAAGTGCCCGTAGAGTCATTTACAAACCATTGGTTACATCAGGGAAATAATGGACTAATTATTAAAATGACATCCTGTAAGTATAATAATGCCTATGCCGAATTCACTATTTTTTATCCTGTTTAATCCCAAATATGGATCCGGGAAACAGGATTAAATTAACAAAATTAATTATTTAAAAAAAGGAATCCATTTCTCACAGAAAGTATGCGAGAAAATTTTGATTAGATGGAATAAAAAAAATTTAATTTAAATTCAAAGTGTGAGAACGTCTATCTAGATGTGTTTGCATACGAAAGCGTTCTGTGGTCTTAAGTGGATCACGTTGAAAACTAATTTTCATACGTTATATATACGATTCAGTTTTCATTGCTCGTGTGATTTAAGTGGTTTTTAGTTTTCTCATTTTCTGTAAGGTAGTTTTAAGTTTTCTTGAGAAAATTGCCAAGAAGCTCTGTATTTTGATTTTATTTTGTTATAGTAAATACAGTACTAATAATATCCCAGATGTACCACCATTTATTTCCTGGTTTTAGGTCCTGGCCTCAAATTGAATATTTATTTTTATTGTTAAGCAAAGGCTATACGTCGTTTTTAGGTGTTTTCATGTTTACACATGCACATTATGTGCGCAAGTTACGCTCAACGGACCGATTATGAGTCTAAGTGCGGAAACCATGTGCGCAAGAAAAGTTTATGGGATGACAGATGGTGTTTGCATTTACCACCTTAGCAGTAATAGTAAGCCCAACCCCCGGGCCAACACTGCCTCTTTTTGTAGCAGTATAAAATTCTTAATTGAACCAAAATGTACCCATAATATATCTTACTAAAATAGTACTACTACATAAAAACTTAAATTTGTCTTAAAGAAACTTTGGTTATTAATTGTGTTATTGTTGTTACAGTGTTTCAGTAACAGTAGAATTTCTGAAAAATGATAACAAAATATTTTACTTATTAAAAAAACCGAATATTTCAACTATGGATTACTCACAGAGATTTAATACAAAATATTATAAATCGCTTAGGGCCTAGTGGAAGCTTTTTAATTATCCAGTCCAAGGCATGCTTCATTCACATTCATTTTTGTAAATAAAATTAAATAAAACACACTAACATATTATATGCTTTTTATTCCAATACAATGAACTTGACAACATTTTAAAGTTTTTCGAGTTATTTTATTTACATTTATGGTTCAAACTTGGGAAAAAAATGTGTCAATTCTTTTCGCATAGTTCCATAGTTGCTCCTTAAACACTTTGAATATTCGTTTAGTTTTTATAATTTACGAATCGATGTAGGTTTTGTCACATTATCTTCTATTTTATTTTGTTTATGAACAAATGTATCTATGTGCCGAGCGTTGGTAAGCTTTTTTAAATAAAATAAAATAAACGGCGCAAATTGATAACCCTACGTGAAATGCACTTTATCCCTTGCGTGTATTTGTGGCTAAATCTATTATTCGATCGACAGTGCTGTAATGTACTTCATTATATACGTTATTTAATGACGTTAAGTGATTAATTTCATTATATATATAATTACTTTTCATTATGTTTATTTACTAATATAAAGTTTGGCACATAACAACACGTACTAGTGAACGATCTTCGATAAAAGAATGGCGAAAAAGGTTGTATATAGATGAATGAAAGTACTTGAAATTTGTTAACAATTTACTGAAGTGACGAAGTATGAAGGTATAAGTTGACAGGGAACAGAACATATGAATCTTTGTGAAATGTAAATCAAGAAAATCAAGTAAACAGTTTTGATGATACCGCATGACAGATGCAAGTACCGTCAACCATGCGCCTGCGACGCGAGCCTGCAGCGAAGACTCTTGCAGTCAGCACAGTCAGCACAGTGATGCACAGAACGGTTTGTATACAGCCTCCAGACAAAAGCCTTTTCCGCGGCGTGATTATAAATTTCGAAATAATTGCCCAATGATGCGAATAATTAACATGATTGTAATGACTAGTAGTTACTACGTTTCAACCGATATCTATGAAAAGCTTTCATATATCACGCTAAGTCTACAAGGATCTTGTCTAAGAGGCAATATTGTTTGTGTCTAACCTTACGCTAGGATTGCCACGAAATCATCATGTTGTTTTAAATAGAGAAACATTTCGAAACTCTCTTGGCAACCCTATAACATGTGTATTAAGTAAAAACTGTGTAAGTAGATCTCTTGATTATAATCGTGGCATGTATGTATGAGTTTAATACAGAAAATCAATAAATAAATACCCTTGGTCGAACTATGAACAATTAAATTAATAAAAGTATGGTGTGACCGCGGCTCGACTGTATTTATGCGTACTGACTGTATTCTTAATAGGCTCGATACCTTACTGGGCGATATATATTAGTTTTCATTGTTTTTCTGTATTAATTGTACAAGTTGTTGTAATATGGTAGGTACATTGCTAAAACTGTCTACGCACTCAAGTAAATCATAGTGTGTCATTTGCTAACTTATTAAAAACATGTATTCCTTACAATTAAACTCATCATTTATATCAGGGTAATCATAATGTTCTTTTACGTCTTTTTATGTGTTTTATTACGTCAATAAGTTTTGAATTATAATGCTACTATTGGCCGATATGATTAATTCGCAATTTCATTAATAGAATCCGATAATAACTCTTAAATATCTCTTTCACTTTATATAAACGTTGATGAGAGCCATAGGTTAATCCGTCCATAAAATTTACTAGGAAATATTATGATTACCCCAAATGTAATATGCCATAATATTGTACTTCTTTCATATACTTTTAATACGTATTTCACAATATCTAAGCAAGTTAACATTTTTATACCAAACGTAAACAGTCAATTCAATACTAAATTCCAATCTCAGACTTATTCAACACATATTGGACATTGTGAAACATTTGTTGAACACGGGTTCTATATCAAAATGCCATTCGTTTTTAGCTACGACTCGTAGATTTTTCTATACAACGGCTGTCAAATGGTATTTATATAGAAAAATGTACTCGTAATTACGATTGATATTTTTATATGACATAGATGTTAAACAGACTCATATCATTTATTTAATATGCTTTTAAGGGACATAAAATTAATGAGTATCAAAAAATAAATAGATAAAAAATGTCACCGCATAGCTCGTTATCTAGAACCAATCGACATGAGCCGCTCTTGGGATTGAACGTCTTAGAATACGGGCCTGTACTAATTACTGACATACAAAACATTTTGTAATACATACACAATAAATATATACATAACACAAAAGACTTTCATTTACAACCCTTCTTGCCTGCATGCTTAGAGGTAAATCTTGTTTTAAAAAGAGTAAATGCTAGTTATAAGTATATATATGTATGTTGTTATTAGTATTAATTATACAGGTATAACTTTCAGGGAATAATGGTTTCCATATTGTATACTATTTCGACAATGTACAAGCTACACATGCTAATATATATTAAGCTGAATATGTGATATATAGTAAATTTTGAGCGATATTTGTACATCAATATGTCAAAAATATAGTGATAGCTCGCATCTTACCCCTACAACCTTCTCATATTTTTGTACCTTATAGCATCAGAGTAACGACGGTATTTGGAGTCGGTAATTACAACATTAAAATTATTTAAATAATTTACTAAATAATTAAATGTCTTCAAATAGTCCTATGAACTAAACCAGCCAACCAGAAGCATGATTTTCTATTCTTAGCTAATCGAGCATTTAAGTTCGAAAAAGGCCCATACAAGGCCAAAAAGGCACAGAGAAATAAATATCAATCTTTAACCTTTACAATATATTTATTTATAAATCAATCTCATTTAAAAATAATCTAACGTGAAGTATTTTTGGTGATTTAATCGAAATACTGGTCCAACGCGTTATTCAATTTTCGAACACTTGATGTTGACAGCAAGTAATTAAACTAAATTAAAAATCATTCATAGGCATATTAATATTCATTAATCAATGACTGAACACTGAAGTTTAATTTTTTGTAGTATACAAGTTTTTATAAAAGTTATCAGCACTGGTTGCGCTCTGTAATTAGTTTTTCATTTAACTCCTTAATAATAAAAAGTAAAAAGCTATAAATCAAGTGAAAACTACTTTTTGAAATTTTTGAACGTAAATCAAGTGTCTTGTAAGCTCCAATTTTTACTCCGCTACGAAAATTCACGAGTGGTTTTAATTGTTTTAGTATTCCGTTGCCTATATTTCAGTCCAAAAAAATTGATGTATTGTAGATGGAATATTTATTTGTCCATGTTTATCTTCTAGTTACATAATAATCACTATTAAAGTGTGATTTCTAAATTGTAACAGTCTTGTAAAATTAGCATTTCCATAAAAGGTTTTTGGCTAGTTTTGATAAGCGGTATTTATTTGTTCGTTCCTAAATAGGTACTTAAATATCATCAACAACAACACTATATATTTCCTTATGTATCACAACGCTTTCTAATATAACCTAATTCTAAAAGTAAAACCTTAAAAGTTGAAAATATTTTATATTTAATATATTATCTAAAGATACTTAATCATACGGCTTTATTATAGAACGCTACAAGTTAGTTCGGTCGTAACCATGGTAACCATTAATTTTGTATGAAAATAACGTGGAACTAACTTTTATCCACGTTTTATAATAACGCTGATTGTATCTTGATGTTTAGGATACCTAACGTGTTTCAATTAATACGAATTACACTTCAACATTGACAACATCTTATTTTGTCTGTTATCTTTCTCATTGTGTTAATTATCTACAGATATGGACTTTGGCAGTGGCGGTCCACCGCCGGGTATGATGAAGGATAGACATGGACCACCGCCTCCTCATCATCCGGTAAGAGTTCATTTAAATGTAAAATAAGAATTAAATTACGATTTGTGTACTAAAAAGGAAGCATTTGTTTTTTCTTGTGTAGTAACCAATACAAACAAAATTTTGGTAATGCATTGTGTTGTAGCTGTCGTTTGTGAGATTAAATTATTGGTAAAATTATTTAATTGAATATTTAATTTCAGCGTGATGGTCGCGGTCCCTATGGCCCCGAAGGCTATGGCGGAGAAGGTTTCGTTCCACCTCCACCAATGCATCATCCAATGCCACCACAAAATCAGGTATTACAAAATAATCTTTCGCGAGTTTCTTCTGATGTTCCGTTTTGATTAATACAAAAAGACCCCTACCAATATTTGCCGCTTTAAAACGAAGCATTTTCTACCTCTGTAGAACAAAAGCTTTACAAATTTATGAACAACTTAGAAATGTTCTAAAAAAAAGGCAAACACTTGATAGCCCGAGCACGTTCTATAGTTTTAGTTTGTTAAAAATATTATGGCAGCAGACACAGGAATATGACTTCAATTTTAAGTGTTAGGGGCACTATAAGCTTTCCGTTTTAACGTTTAACTGATTTTGAACTTTTGCAGGGTGGTCCACCACAACAAGGCGGCGTGATGATGGTGTATGGACTGGATCCGACTACAGCCAACGCAGACAGATTGTTTAATCTATGCTGCCTCTATGGAAATGTTGTTAGGGTAAGTTTAAAACAAAATATATTTTTAATCCATTACTAAACCACCAATTAAGTCAAATACATAACAAAACAGATGCTCATAATATATATTCTTATCTTTGGATATTGAGTGTCTTATAAACTATAATATAGGTCCTTAAATTTCCGAATTTAAATTGTAACGTAACGTAACGAACAGTGGCAAAGTGGAGTATGGGTGCAATAACCCATACTCCACGTTATAGGACGGGGGTGGGTGACTTCTAGGCCTTTTCGCCGCGTCCATCCTTCCAACCAAGAAGGTAAAACTCTTATATGGTCCGGCGCATATAGGCCCAGAGCTACATATGAGTACGGGCGATTCGAGAGCCCCATTTTTAACATGTGGCAATGAATCATAACTTGTAGCCTTCTACTACCCCGTGGAACAACAGGTCGCTGTCTTGGCATTTTGTTTTGTTTTTAGCCCTACTATGCTAACTTCTACTTGTATTAACCTAACTAGCTGATTTAATATTCAGATAAAGTTCTTGAAGACAAAGGAGGGTACGGCAATGGTTCAAATGGGTGATCCCGTCTCTGTGGAACGATGTGTGCAAAACCTCAATAATGTTACAGTTGGAGATTACACGCTAACACTCGCGTAAGTCATAAATTAAATTTTTACCAGATATTTGATTGAAATTAAATTAATTATTTAAATTTTATACACAAATGGATTGAGACAATTATTATATCCGCGTAACTTTCAGTGGAATTTTTACGTTCTAAGGAGGTGATGGATTTTATAAAATGTTCCTCTTCATTTTTAAGGTTCAAACATTAAACGATATAAAAACATTGTGGACATAAGATACAAAATAATTCCAGGTTCTCAAAGCAAGCATATTTATCCGAGGTGATGAACCCCTACCCACTGCACGACAAATCTCCATCATTCAAGGATTACGTGAGCAACAAAAACAATCGATTCCTCACACCGGCTTCCATACACAAGAATCGGATACAGCCGCCTTCTAAGGTAAGCGACAAATATTATTATTACTCTACTAACTAATAAAATAGCTGAATTCTTAATACGTCTATGGCTGAGACCACACCGTATTACACATATACTATTTATTGTTTGTCCATACATAATTCATAGTATGTATTGTGTTTGATTAACATAACCTGGTCACGGTGGTCACGGTGACCGTGACCACGCACGCTGTAAAGCACGTCGGATAAATTTAAAATTATTATAAATAATTGTAAATTTATAATAATACATAACTTTAATCCGGTTAAAAAGTTTTTTCTTTAAACATACATAATTCATCAAAACAAAATGGACTTTAAACTTGAAAATTAAAGTATTAATTATTATATTAAATATATCAGTGAAGACGACTCATATGGGAAATAAGTATTAGGCAGCTAGGTGATTGTAAATTTTATTCATTACTAGCTACGCTCTGTGGCTTTACCTGCATTAATTTCACTTAGTGGTAGGACCAGAAGATACACTAAATAAATTATATGAAGTTGGCGAAAGTCGCGAGTTTTAAGTAAATAGGTTTAATCTTTTGATTTGTTTATACTGATAATATATTATAATGAATTCCAGGTGGTGCATTTCTTCAACACTCCCCCAGATGTGTCGGAAGAACAGCTGCTAGCAGTATTCACAGACTACGGAGTCACTTCTCCACACACTATCTCAAAGTTCCCGCTTAAGAGCGAAAGGTAACTTATCTTCAAAAAACTGATTATATTTCTCTAGGCCAAAGTGTATGATAGAGAGAGAGAGAAAAAAAGAGAATGAAATCCGAGAATTTAAGAGGCCGTTCAAGTATTACGTAAGCAGATTTACTGTAATTTAAACCCCCCCCCCCTCTCTCTTTTCAGCAAAATCAAGCAAAGCTCTCAAAAATAATTGTACATAAACGTATTAATTGTTGGTAGGAATCCTCGAAAATTCATTTCGTTTTCAAGCATAGACAATGTGTGGGTAATATGTGTAAAAAAGTATTTAATTATTGTTGACATAATCACCAAATAAGAAAATCAAAGACCCCCCTCCCCCCTATAGTGCTTACGTAATACTTGAACGGCCCCATATTTAAATTTGTGTTAGTGACAAAGAACTGCAATTATTGTATGTATCTCTGACGATCGACATGTTTTATTTTGAATAAATTCGACTGACAGGTTGAAACAACCTGTAAGATGTCTGTGATATTGTGTAGTGTTGCCATTCTAATAAAAGAAATGACGTCGTTATTATATTCCCCATTTAATTACATTCCTCCGACATATACTTTTGCATATTAACAAATTGGCCTATCTCTTGAGTTCGTCTTTTATTAAAGTATTACTATTGATATAGTCTGAATAAAAATTAATTTTCATGCAGTCTTCCTTCCCTCAATCAAACCTATGAGATCTTGCTCTTTGTAAAATACGTCGGGAATTAGTTTTTGAAAACATATTTCGAAATATAGTCGTATTCTGTCCTTATCGCTTAATAATTAAATGACACTTTCTGTAACTATTTAAGGCTTCTACATAATTTAAATATGATAATAAATAAGTAATCGTTTGCAGGTCATCATCAGGACTGATGGAGTTTCAGAACATATCGCAGTCAGTGATGGCCATCATGGCTTGTAACCACGCTACCATCAACCACCCAGGTATCGTCCTTTGATTATAGTTGTGTATTATCAAAAATTCTCGTTAATTGATTCAAAAAGTTGAAAGAAGAAAACATATGAAGCAACAACTCACACACAGTCAAGTTTAATTTACGTCCCATTTGTCCCTCCTTTGGGAACAAAGAGCCACAACCAGAGCCACAACTCGTGGCCAAAACTCTGATATCCAGATTCAGTAGTAAAATTAACAATATACTATATATAATATGGATATACGGTTGCACCCCTCATTTTGAAATGAATTTTTCTTTAGAATTTATAATTATTAAATTAATGTTTTTTGTCCCTTCGTGTTTGATATGTTTGCCTATCAGTGCTTTTCACGTTATTATAACTTATATATTTTTCTTAATGTGACAATGAATCAGTGTGCCGAATAATTGCTTTTCGTTTGACTCGCTAAAACTCGAGGATGGCTGGACCGATTTGGCTGATTATGATCTTGAAATATATATGGAAGTTCAGGGAAGATTTAAACGGTGGGAAACATAAATAATAAGTAAAGAAAAGTAACTCAAATCGACAATTGAATTTTCCAATAAAAAATGTTCCTGTTCCGTTGACTGGGTCATCTAGTAAAAAATAATTAAGTTATTTTGGAAAAGGACCTAATATTTTATTACAGGGTTAGATTCGATTTCCGTCATGTGCCACATTATCGATAGTTTTATACGTTAGCAAGGTATAGCGTACGTATTTGACGTACGTAAATCATACTTATCGCTAAGGCTCTAGATCTTACATTTAAAACGTTACTAATACAACCGCCAACAATTTCAGGTGCGAAATTCCCGTTCGTTATGAAACTGTGTTTCTCGTCGTCGCGACAGATCGGCCAGGGCAAAGGCCAGAACCAGAATAAGAACCACAACCTGAAACAGGAGGAGAGCCAGAGACAAGGCCAGAATAATGGAATCGAACACGATTACTAGTAAGGCCCATTTCATTAGTATATAGACTCGGGGCGATTAAAAGACATATTTGAACGGACCAAAGCCGAGTGAACGCCAAAGATTGATGTTACCGTGTACTTTGTATGGGATTTTTATTGCAAATTTGTGTTGCCATTTTGTGTGAGTTATCAGTCTGTATATGGCAACATTTTTAAACTGATTCATTCTGGTATTTCTGCATTTTGCTAAATAGTTAGGTTGTCATATATAGTGAGATTGTTTTGGAGAGGACTTTGAGGTTTTTGATGCCAGCATCAAGATTTAAATAAACGAAATTGCTATTAAAAATCTCATCAAGTATAGCTATTTTAATATCGTTGTATAAATGTTCGTAAATTGTAAAATAATTAGATGAATTTGTGCACAATTTTAAATTATAATAAGATTCTATCGTTGTTATTTTTTTTGAAGGTATCGCTAAAATTAGAGGATGGCCTATATATAAAAACCCAAATCGATATTCTAAATACGCAATTTTTCCTACTGTTATTCGTTGGTGTTGCCATGTTTAATTTAAATAGACCTGTGGTGTGCAGTTTTGAAATTTTACTCTTGTCGAAAATTTTACGGACTTTTTAACCGAATGTTAAACATATTTTATATTTAACAGTTTGTTGTAGGGACCATAGATGGTTTCGACATTTATACATTTGCTTGTTAATGTCAAAATATCCATGACGTATTCTTAAAACACTTTAAAGTGAATGAAGCAGGCAAGCAAATATATAAACGATTTAACCTATTTTCTATAACATTATATTTATTTTAATAACGAATATATAATGTTATATATTCTTATATGAAATGTATACAGACTTCTAAATTTAAATATGTTTCCTATTTTGAATGTATGTATTGACACTAGAGCATTTGACCGTTGTTTTAAAATATTGCTTGTTATCCTTTTCATATTTTCTAAGCCAAATAAATTAGCCAAAGTTATAAGATAAAGATATCGAAAAGAAATTTATTAAAAAATATATTGTAAATATTATAGCTGTTCGTAAATGTTTTATTTTGCAGGTAGATGTAAATGTACAATCAAGTACTCGAGTGTCATGTAAAAATAGATTAACGCGGTGTAAATGTAATTGTAAGTACATATGTATTTATTTGAATATAATAAATCGCCCAAATTCTACTTTTATAGCTATGTCACCTTACCATCTATATGTTTATATGCTTCGTATATATCCGATAATTATAAATGTGATTTTTATTAATTAAACTACCTTAAAGGGGCATAGACAATAGAATGACATATCTTTGTGATTATATCCATAACTTTAAATGGATCGCGTCAATTGGTATCTATAGCTACGCTAAACCTAAGTAAATAATTTAAGTGTACAGTCGCGGACAAAATATCAAGTATTTTACGAAAGCATCGCTTTTAGGCTTTTAATAGATTTGTACTTACGCTACTTTTTGTAGTCTCATAAAAAATGTTATAGAAATGATATTTTGTGCGCGACAGTACAAGCTTTCCCCGCCTGTCAGATGTCAATTTGTAGATGGCATTGTGGGAATGTCATGTGCGTGCGAATATAGCTTTTTGGGCACCTACATATCAAGACGACAAATAAGTTTTAGATTTAATATAAAGTTTAAATTCATAGGTATTTCTACGATGTCTATTATTCAGAGTTTAGTGATTTGTTTCGTTATTTTATGTTTTACAGCTTCTTTCCTACATTTTTCTGTCTACATATATGTCGAAAAACATGTCATACTTCATTATGCTTGCAGTCTAAATTATCTCAGTTCCTGTACAGTCCCTAAATGGCTGAAATAATTGTGTTGTTCTTCTGTTATGATTTATTACTACAATGGATCATGTTTTGCCAAGCATTCTACTTCAGCCATGAATCCCTGGAGGCAAAATCTAATTACAAAAGTATTTGTGAAGAGCTTAGTGATTGTAAATGTTATGATAATGTTTTTCGACATTGATCTCTAGTAAATAATACATGCATACTGACATAACCGTATTTGCTTCTAGTTAAATGGCGACGTGGCGGCACACAAACACACATATCAAGGCGGACGGCTACACACACACACACAGCCACATCACTACGAGTGCGGGGGTCAAGGGGGAAAAGGGGGTTGCCAGTGTTCAATATTATAATACACTTGAAGTTTTATGAAACTTTTATGGAATAAAACCTCGTCTTACTATCTGGGATCTTAAATGTTATATTTTTACCCACACGAGGGAAAATATTTTACAGTGGCAACATTATTATTCCTTAATTTGTGATTTAGATCACTGATATAAAGACATTAACATTTAGTTAATTATAGACACAATAACAAAACCTTTTTCATGTTAACACATATTCTACATTTCCATGGTTTTTTTTTCTTTCTTTTTTACCGGGGTGGTTTCATGCATTCGTATTTTATTTTGTATAAGTAGCGGTTTAGGTGTTGTAAGCATTATTCCCTTATATTTGAAGTATATTAGATTTTAGTTTTGTCTGCGATCTGCCATTGTCGATAATAATGGCGGTGATTTTTCCGTTTCTAGTGACTGTATTAGATGTAGATATTTTGTTACATTATTTCTCCGTGTTAAAATATGTATGTGCGTATTTTTTATGATTCTGGTTGTTCATGATTGACAGTTGTGAATTGTACAAGAAATATAAAACATATATCGTTTATAAGGTAGAGAAATTTGACTTTTATTTCGAGCTTGGAGTGAGCATGTTTTCGTTTGCAATACTTTCGTTGGGTAAATTTTATGAACCAAGTCTAAATGTAAGTTTTAGCACTTTTAGGCTAATAGTAAGTGTCATTGCGATGTCAATTATATATAATTAGAAACGAAACAGATTTTCTATAAAGTTGGCCTAGCATTTGGCCAGTGGGGCGAAATGAATTTCTTTTATTAAATCGTCCATTTATTTTATCCGCTGGTCAAGAATATCATACCGTCTTTCTTTCTATGTATAAGATTAGAACATATGGTGTGAGATGTGGTAGCATGCTATATAACTGTTTATGGTATATATATTTTCAATACTAACATGTCAAGAACGTAGACGAAACTACATGGTTTGATAGCGTAAACAGTGGTATAGTTGACCCAATAGTCCGATTAGCATTGTTATCAACTAAATAGATGCATATCTTTTTCTCTAGAAATATTTTCGAAATGAAATAAATGTATTAGTATTAGTAATTGATGTCGTGAATAGCAATTTTGTGTTATGTAATAATTATAACTTCGTATTTGTTCAATTTCACTTAATTTGTTATAGATTTGAGTTATAGACAAGATAGAGATGACTTTAATCAAGCTTATTAAACTTTCCGTTTTTAAACTTGTCTATAGTTCTAATAATAAATTCTAACCTTACTCTTGAAATTACTATAAAGATCAACGCCCTTATTGATAAAAACTAGTCTTGAACTAAATCTAAGTACTCGTTCTGTCTCTTTTGATCACAGCAAAAACACAATTGGAAAGAATGAGATACATATAAATAAAAATGTGCTTTAGTAAAACATTATAATAAGGTTAAGTTTTTACAAATAAGGCTGTACTGTGTTATAAAATAGTGTAACACACACTCGATTTAATCAAAAGTAAGGCCAAATTCCCATAGTTGTTTACATAATTCACATTATTGTTACACGCACGAACCATGTCCGACTCAACAACAGCACTCTAGCAAACAAAATGATGTAACATTATTTCTAATTTTGTTCCCTTATTATTTAGCTTATCTTTTGGTATTAGGTCGTAGTTACATGTTTAACATTAAATACATGTCAACACAAATAATCTTTCATTTCACAACACCACAATCCTACTACGCATAATTGCGATGATTTACTCTTATGCGGAACAGACGTTACTCAACAATTAGCAGATAATCAAGATATGGTCACAAAAATCACTTAAAAACTTTGTCGAATTCAACCTTGTTCAACTGACTTGAGATTTTATTTTAAATGGCAACATCGCATGTTTAACATGCATGAGAAGTCTAAGGTTATATACGTGATAGGTATCGTATATTTCGTATATATATTATAGGTAATCTCTATATATATAAAATTCTCATGTGTCACAATGTTCGTTCCCATACTCCTCCGAAACTGCTCGACCGATTCTTATAAATTTTTTTTATGCATATTCAGTCTGAGAATTGGGAAATCTTTCAAACCCCTATATAGGGGTCCACCCCAAATTTTATTTTTTTTACTTTTTAAACATATTTTTTGGTTTTATATTTATTATGATACAACATACATACAACCCCTAATTTTCACCCCTACTTTTTATTATAGTAGGTAGATAGTTATTTTTATTTGACATAAAAAAATGTTTTCTAGAAATAATATACAAAACAACGTTTGCCGGGTCAGCTAGTATAATATTCAAGAATCCAAAGAATGAAAACATATGAAATTTGATGAATAACATTAGTAAAATTATAATTAGTTAATATTAGTCTTATAAGTTTTTACGCTTAATATTCAGACAATACTATCTACATACTGTGACATTAATTATATTCATATTACAAATAATAAAGTTTAGCTCAAGCTGCAAAATTTTGCCTACTTATTCAACACGTTTGGCCTACAATGCCTGGGAATGATAGATGACTGAGATTATTAAGATGTACATACGCGCGTGTATTGTTGACGTTTAATTTTATTGTAAATTTTAAGTAAAAAGAATATATTTAGAAAGCAGCACGAGACGCAAAAAATGTAAAATTGTATAGAAATAAAAGATGTTTTCAAATTACATTGTTTTTATTTTGTATCGGGGGTACATGCTACTGACAACTTAAGAAAATAGGTTATAAAGAACTAGCCCGTAACATCAGTACAGACCATAACTTTGGGTAAAAACGGTAAATGATATAGGTACGGATTGTTCGACAAATTGGCAGTGATCAAAGAGTATCCTCTGAAATTTGGCGTTCTCCTTTTCCGACCTAAACGAAAGATCCTCGACCAGTCTAACCACTGACCGGGCGGCATGAAGACCCCAATGGCTAAGGTCGAAAAGTATATATATATGCCATCATTTGTTCCCTTAAATATCACTTAAAACTAAGGTAACCAACTATTTTTTGTTCAAAAAGAGTACACTTTGCAAGTATTTCATAGGTGAAGAAAAAATTATTAAAAACTTTTTTTTGATACATATTTTTCTTCGGAGTGGATTTTTTTTGCTAAATGAGGATGTTCGTCTAATAATGTAGCCACATCCGAACAACTTTCATTTAGCATATTTGACTGTTAAGACTACAGAAAGTTGCGACTTCTCACTACTTCAATAATAATCATTCAAAATAAATACTCTTTCAACAGCAGCATTAGTACCTGGATGAAACATGAGGAAATTTCCATTAAATCTTTTAAATTTTGATGTGGGATATGTTCTACTCTTAAATGCCGAAAGATTGTGCCCATATTTTGTCAAGTTCTACATTCTCACCGTTCTATTTCTTCAACTTTTTTTCATTTTCATATTAATTTACTCTTCGAATTTCTTCAAAGAGAAAATTGTCATTAATAACAATATCTTTTACCTCCTTCATTACAAATTCAACTGCTGAAGAAACTTCTTTCCATTCAATTATACTATTTAAAAGGGTCCATTTGAAACATTTTAATGCTCTAAAGTTCACTATCCATTGCGCACTTTATTAAAATTTTAAATTTCTTTTAAAAACTCATTTTTTATTATACACTGTCAAAATAATATTAAATATTTAAATAATAAATGTGTCATAAAATAATCTAAACAATTTTTTTAGAAATACAAATGAGTATAAAATTATACAAATGAGTAGGTAGGCGATGAGCCAATGGGCAATGTTATTTGAGATCATTATATTGTATTTTATGTGTAAAGCCAGATTAAAAAAACAATTGTTTCAACCGTCCCCACGTCAGGGTCGGTTGAAACAGTGCCTGGTGTCAATTGAAACGCATGCAAATAAAACAAAATTTTATTTATTTATTTATTTTTCACGGGCGTGATATTCGAAAATAAAAATGCACTTCAGCTACAACTTAATAAATAAAACTAAAGTTATTATTTCTATATAAAAACAATATTTTTATATGGATGTTTAATAAAAATACTTAAATTAAGTAATTAAATATCAATCGGAATCACAAATGTGGCAAACATAATTAAGAATACCTTCTGTACATTCTTCATACGCCCACATTTTACATTCTGTGCATTGTATCCATTTAAAATCGGTCTGCTTTCCGAATATCGTGACATACATACAAGGCAGTAGCACTCCTCTTTTGATGACGATGATGCATTTTGCGTGTTCTCTTTTTTCCTGTTCCCAGCATTTGTTTTAGTCTCCCCTCCATGTAATCTTTTCATTACTTGTTTAGCTTTGGTGTGTTTCAATATATTTACATATTCTTTCCATACATTTTCAGGGGTATCTGTGTAGATTGTAGATATCCTAGTTTTTCGCCCTCTATTTGTTAGTTTTCTTGGAGGAGCTTTTGGTAGAGGTCGTATTGCTTCCGGCAAAAACATAATTCCTTGTCCTCTATCATCAAGAAACAAAATAATTAGATAAATAAACTGTTTCAACCGTACCCACAAAAAAGTGTTTCAACCGTCCCCTGCAGCGTTCCTAATATAAAATCGTTCATAGCAAGCACTGTACGAGGCATGCCTTTTAAGTTTTGTCGTTTGCAGAAAAAAACACAACTAGAACCTTATAGTACTTTTTATTGTTTTTCAAAGTATTCACCACGTAGCTTAATACACTTTTCCATTCGCTCAAACCAGTTATTATAACATTTATTACACTCCAAAGTGGAGGTGTTCAAAATGGCTGATTTGAAAGCGTCGACTGCTTCTTCACCGGACTGGAACCTTTGACCACGAAGACTTTTCTTAATTTTTGGAAATGTAAAGAAATCGTTAGGACTTAGGTCAGGACTGTATGAAGGATGGTCAAGAATTTCTACTTTTTCCTGCTTCAAATACTGAATTGTTTGACGAGCGCTGTGTGAGCTTGCTTTGTCGTGGTGCAGGATGATGCGTCGCTTTAAGTTATATTTTCGAAGTTTGGAGATGACTTGTGGTGAACAAACTGTGGTATACCACTCTGCGATAACCGTTCTAGGGTTGGGTGTGAGTCAAACGAAGCGCTTCATGCAAGATCTTCTGAATGGTTGTCCCTGAGATGCCTAATAGAGCCTCTATCTCTCGATACGTCACTGTATTAATGATGTTTTCTTCAGTGAAGGCGGATTTTGGTCGTCCTTCGCGAGATTTGTCACTAACACTAGTATATCCACGCTGGAATTCTAAATACCAGCGTTCGACAGTCCGCAGACATGGGGCTTCATCACTGAACACAGATATTAGCTCTTCAAAACACTGAAGCCGTGTCAGGCCTCTTCTAAAGTTGTAGAAAATTATTGCACGAACATTTTCCTTAGAAAGATTCATTTTCGTACGTAACCTGACAGATTCAAATCGACGCTGTGACTAAACAATAGCATTAATCCTAATACTTTCAACTGTTTTGACATTCAAAATATAAACACATTCGAATATAGAACAGGTCCAAATTCAAAATTGCCGGGAAATATGGAAACGACAGAACTTAAAAGGCATGCCTCGTAATAAATGTTAATTAAATATAATCATACAGCATTAATCGACAAACTTTAAAGAAAATAACACAAAAGTCTCAGTATGAAACCTGTTATAGAATCATAGTAATTACCAAAAGAAACGAACAAAAAATAATGTATTAGAAGTTGAGATTTACAGATTACTGTATGAAAAGCGTACCGGTATAAAATAAGAATAATCATTAATTTATTTAAAAAAAACGGAAATTAAAATATTGAACTCTAGACGTCAGTCATGTGACTTAAAACGGTTTCAGATTAAACGAATCAAAGATGACGTAGCCAGAATGTTAATAATATGACGTCTTCGCCTAGAAATTGCATCTACCCTCGAATTGTTTTGACAGTCTTTGGAATACATAGTTTTTTATAACTTGATCCACACACCATTTTTAACTCATGATACATAGGTACAAATCACTGTTTAAATTTAACACAAATCGCAGAATGATTACAACGTTTGTTTTACGTGTTTGCAGGATTAGTGCGACGCCATATTGCATAAAGAAGCGTTTTGGCGAATTTAAAAACATTAATATTTAAATTAAATTTTTGAAACAAATGGTTAATTTTATTTATTTACACTTTGTTGCAAGAAATACATTACAATTAAAATAATTAAGAGGGAACATTCGGCCTTATCGCTTTCGAGCATTCTATTCTATATATATTTTTTTGCATAGTACATAGTATAAGATACATTTGGTATGTAGAAGTCACTGTGTCCGTAAGTCTGAAACGGGGGCAGCACCTTAATAATGGTGCAGGAAAGTAAAGGAAACACATATAGAAAAAACTACTTGAATTTTAACAAAAACAGGACCTGCAGATAAATTGTTGAAGGGTTAGCCGTTAGCCGTTTAAAGCCTGCTGGTTTCGAGGCGACATAAGTAATATATTTTTATTATATAAATAAAAATAAGATAAAATAAATGATATATTCATATAAATTAACTAAGGCTAGGTTATATACCTAACTATTGAAACGATCTACTTTATGTTAATATAATTTATATTAAAATAATGCACTATTTAGGAAGGAACACCTCCTTCCGTTAATAGTTAAAAATAAACAAAATGGCCCTTGATATCGTTTATTGCCTTGAATAATATCTTAAAATATTTCTAGGTATTTCAATAATAAATGTGAAGAATTTGGAAGTAGGAAACAAATACAAATAGGGTAACACTGTTTGATTTTTGACGTTTTGACAATTGTCACTATTCAGAAAGCACAAAAATGGCGACTTCCGTAATGATGGCTGCTTTGTAAAATCATGGCTGACAACATATTCATGTTCCTGATTTTATGAAAACGGAAAACCTTCAGAAACTAAATTGAAATCAAAAGTCTGTGATCAAAAGGCTTGTAGCAGGTACTTCCATTCTATATAAAATTTTTAACTTTCAGTAATTTAAATGAATGAAATATTCATCTAACCATTTTTAAGAGTTAAGCTAAGCAAAATTAAATGTAAACCGCATTTATTTCTGATTTTCTGTCTTCTAGCGAAGTAAAAGATCACAATGTTATCTGAGAGGTAAATTTTTTGTCTTTTCTTCGTTTTATTTATATTTTAAATTGTTGTATATTACATAATGGTTAATTGTTGTTGTAAATTGTATAACTTAATAGTTAATTACATTGTGTGTAAAACATTTTTGAGTAATAATATTTAAACAAAGCAGTTTTTACCATAACTTTTATTTGCTGGTTTCCAATTTTTTTTAATACCTACGCCAATTATTTTCTTAAAAATTAAAATAATATCAAGAAATAATAACATCTTATAATTATATTTCCTAATTTAAAAACTTCATGTTTTAATGTACAAAGCATTAAATTACTTCTTACAACATATTTTTCTAGGAGTGCAGATGGCCAAAAATTGCTATATATGCAACAAGCAAGATGGGGGTGTCGAGAAAACAAAAGTTAACATATTTGACACAAAGGTAATAAACTAATGAAATAGATTTGCAGCTAGTCTAATTTGCAAATCAGTATTATACAGAAAAATTTAAAAGGTTCACACATATTGTATTTCTATTAGTTAATTAATATTATGAAGCTGAAGTTTGCTTAATGAGGCAATCTCAGGAAGTACTGGTTAAAATAAAAAAAGTATAACAGGCTATGACAGAACGCGGGTTTTAATATTCTACGAAATACTAATAATTTTACAGACTCCAATATCAGACAAAAAGGTATCAGAATTATTATTTGATATATCGGGAATTGTAGTGCGAGAAAAATGCAAAGAACAAAATAATTTGTGTGCAAAATGTTATAAGAAAATCTTGGAATATGATTACCTACTGGCTAGGTAAGTGCTGTATAAATAAAATAAACCTATTGATTATAAATAAATTGTATGATATGATAACACTTTTTAATTTAAGAGGAGTTTTATGAATGCATGCACCCAATGCATATTTATACCAGTATTATTTGTGCTTTACATTGAACTTGTTTGGCTTTCTAATTATTTTAATTACTTTGTTTTAAAATAGTTTAGTAAATTACCTATTAAATTAAAATTAACTATTTTATATTTTTAGACTAAATGAAATGAAAACTGAAACTACTAATAATATAAATCGTTCAGAAGACATTCGATTGAAAGAAGATGAAATAAAACTAGAGATTCAAAGTTATACAATAAAAAAAGAAGCAACATTTGAAAGGGATTTGAAGAAAAAAGTTCCCTTAGTGGTTCCTGCATCAAAATTAAAACCTCTTCCTCCTGGTTTTAATTTGAAATTGAGCAAATATTTGACTAAAACAAGTCCTGTTAAAATGGTATGTGTATTGTATTTATTTGGTATTCCTAGTAGTAGGGGAGCTCAAGCAGGGATTTCGGGATTTACTAAAGCGCGGCAGATTAATATATATAATATACAGGGGGATACCTTGTACCCGGTGAAGTACCTCCACAAAACATGAGGCCCATATATAAGGCCGCCCGTGAAGGATACAGGATCAGATTAGTAAAAAAAATTGACCATCAGAAATTCTCGAGCGCGTCAGATTAAGGTAGGGTGAGTTAATTACATCCTAAAAAGTGTATATTCCACTAATCTGACAATTTGAGAGTGACGTAAAAAAAGGGGAGGGCAACAAAGTTGTAAAAAAAACGTCATCTCGACATTCTCGAGCGTAGCTAAATTTTTTTTTATTTTGAAGGAAATAATTCAAGAATAATGAAATATATATAATCTGACGATTTCCGCAAGCCGAAATAACAAAAATTCGTCGATAAAGTTCAATGCGTATCGGAATCTACTAAACGGCGTTCTAAATATTTCCCTCAAAATTACATTTCCTGTGAATTTGAACCGATAGATTTTGAGAAATTTTGAAAAATCTCAAAAAAAAATAAGTTTTTTTTTAAAAGTGGTTTCTTTATCGATCAACTTCAAAAACTAATCCGCCTTTGAGCTTGAAAAACCACGTCGATCGCCACCAAGCTGGTCAAAAGCGGTTGATTCGTTCGAGAGATATCGTGAACGAAAGAAACCCGAAAAAGTGTTTTTTCGGGATTACTCCGAAATTTGAAGTTCGATCAATTAAAGTTGCAAAATTACTTATGAGTATGATAAAACTGCGTCGAATGCCGCCAACCGCGTGAAAATTGCTTGATCCATTGAAAGGTTATTGCGGTTTGAAAATTCCAAAAATAGTGTTCTATGAAACTTCTATCAGACTTTCGAGCTGGGAGAGCTCAAATGCATAGAAATATTATTTCTTTGAACTCAGCGAGCTCAAAATATCAATTTTAAGCGCCCAGGAATGGAATTAGCGGGAAGTTTCAGGGATGGCCTTTAAGGTAAACCGTTTTTCTAATTTTTTTTCGTCAGATCAGGCGAATCCCTCTAGATAATCGTCAGATTATGAGACAGTACGTTAAGAACATAAAGATGAACCATATATATCTTAATCTGACGCGCTTGAGTATTTCAAAATGGCGATTTTTTTTGCACATTATGAAAATGGCCGCGGGTTTGCGTCCCATCGAAATTGTCAGATTAGTGAATGAGAGCTTTTTTTTGGTGCACTTAACACTCCCTTAGAAAATCTGACGCGCTCGATTAATTTTTTTTTCATTTTCAACCCTTAAATACAACCACCCGCATCATGCAAACGATCAGATTAACATACGTACATTATTAAAAATACGTAGGGCATTGATGCTATCAATATCTGACGCGCTCGAGGATGTCCATGCAACAGTTTTTTTTACATATTTAAAAATCTATAGCCGCTTCCCCCACCGATGTAAAGGTATATATCATATAACATTTTTTTCTTCTTATCATCTAAGTTTTGCATCCCAATTGGTCTCTACGACGCTCGAGTAAATCCCCATTTAGCATCGTGGGCTCCCCTACTATAGAGCTATTTCATGATAACATTGTTATTAAAAAAAAAGTATTTTTAATGTTCAGATGCTAAAGGTTTTGTTGCCCCAAATACAGAAACAGATTTGGAAAGATCTATAAGATTACGGGCGTAGGTTTTTTATAACATGTTTTAATGATTATTTAATTTTAAAGACTGAGAAATTTAGTCTTGTTATGGTTTCAAATCAAAATAATCATAAACACAATACATATGTAAAATAATATTTGATTTTCAGGAAAAATTAACAACTGAAGTACAAGTGCAAAATAAAACAACACAAAATATAGATTATAAAGTACCACTTATTCTACCTAATCAGTTAACAACATTGTTAAATAATAAACAACTTAGTTTTAATGATTTTGTTGTTGTCAAAGAAAAGGATGATGACAATAATGATGATCGCCCTATGGAGATTGATGAAGGTAAACAAATATATTTATAAAGCGGCCAGATCGTAAAATTGATCATGAATTTTTAATCTTTTAAGCTTTTGCTACACTAGCGGAAAGGACTAACATTTCATGCAATTATAAATGTGAGCTATAACATGTGAAGCTAACTAAACCATTATCTCTCTCTATAATAATTACCAATTACCAATTCATAAATTTATTAAATCATCATGATAAATAAAATAAACCCGATTTTGTTCTTGCAGATGCAGTAATAATGGAAACTGAGAATGGTATAATCAGTGTTGTGTCCCATCAGAAGTTTTTGTATGGCAATTCTGAGTTAGCACTAGTAATGCCTGACGGAGATGTCTTGGATCAACATCATGATGATGGGCAGGGTAATATTTTTATAAATAGTATGAATTTTTTATGTTTTTTAAAATAGTTTATTTACTATTCTCAATATTTCTGTATATTACATATTTATTGTTCATTACATAAATTTTAATGACGCTAATCTTTCACTACTGAATATTTTAAAACTCCATTTCAACAAAGCAATGCTTTTTATTATATGCAATAAATCAAAATATATAATTATATATCATATTGTTATATTTAAAATCTTTTCATTGGAAAAAAACTTAAACTTATAACTTTCTGATCTACATTAACCTCTAAGTTATAAGCAGAATAATTAAAATGACATTCAAAGAGAAACATTTTATAATGACCATTTATGTAATATGTTTTTTCAGATTCAAACTCTGATCATATCGAATTGCAAGTTTCGGGTGATGAAGAAACAGCCAAGGCTATAATAGCTGCCACTAATGAACAAGGTGAGACTCTCATCCCTGAGGTCGTAGGTTCGATCCCTGGCTGTGCACCAGTGGACTTTTATTCTATGTGCGCATTTAACATTCGCTCGAACGGTGAAGGAAAACATCGTGAGGAAACCGACATGTCTTAGACCCAAAAAGTCGACGGCGCGTGTTAGGCACAGGAGGCTGATCACATACTTGCCTATTAGATTGAATAATGATCATGAAACAGATTCAGAAATCTGAGGCCCAGACCTAAAACACCACCACTGTTGTAGCACCACCACTGATTTTTTTTAATGAACAAGGTAGACATTACTTTTTAATACAACTACCACATTTTTGAAAGTGTGGGTAGATGATAAAAATATTAATGTTATAAAGCTGAAATGATTGTTTCCTCTAATCACAGTTTTATTTTGTGTTGAATTGAAAAATTGTGGAGTCCATTTATCGAAAAAGGCTTTCACCTATATAGCACCTTATCAACTCGGATAAACGCCATTATATTTATATTTACACAGGACAAATAGTTTCTTTTTTTATGTAATAGGAGGCAAATGGGCAGGAGGCTCACCTGATGTTAAGTGATACACACATTGCCAGAAGCCTCGCAAGTGCGTTCCTACTCCCCTCATATTGTTATTTTTTTCATTGTTGTTATTTTTATGTTATATTTAATATATTTTTTTGTTAAAATTTCATTTTAGGTGGAACATTTATAAAGGTCGGAAGCGGTGAGATGTACGAAGTGAAGTCAGTCGAAAGTAAGATCAATGACGTGAGCCAATCGACGGAAGACATTTTGAGGGTGAGATTTGATTTTCTTATCTATTACTTTCTTTACTCACTGGTTTCTTTGGATTGGTTATATTAATAATGCCTTTTTCAGCTGGACGAAAATATGGTGGAAGTGGATGGAGATAAATTCAAATGTCTATTTTGTGAAAGGATCAATAAAAATGGTTAGTAATAATAACATAATTATTAAATTTTTAATTTTTTTTTAATTTTTGCCCGATACTTAAATAGATAATATTTGTAATTTTAAGGTGGATTATTTATATTGATAATCACTGAACGCTGATCTTCTAGAATGCACGTTCTATATATGTATTAGGGAGCGTTCAAGTATTACGTCACGCATTTTTTGAAGATTATTGAAACCCCCCCATGTAACGCGCCGTAACGTTTTTCTGTACCGAAACGTTTCGTGACCACCCAGTGACTCTTTAAACCTATAAGTTACCATTATGTGGTGTAAAGTACTGGAAAGTCGAAAATAATATTAACAATAACGCGTAATTCACTCTTAGAAAAAATTCGTTACGTAATACTTGAACGCTCCCTTATATGATATCCGTGACATTACAATGAGAACTGCAATGGGGCAGATGTTCGACAACCGTATCATAGGACCCAAGACCAAGCTATGAGACACTTTCAAACCGAGACATAAAATGCAATTTTTTCAGAGAATGCGGATCCAGTGACGGGCGATGCGGAATGGATGATGCTCCATTTAAAGGCTATTCACTCGGCTCGTTTGTACTTATGTAATTGTGGCGCTATTATTCGAAAAAGGGTGGATTTTAGCGCACATATAGGTATGATATAAATAATATTATTGTTAATATCAATACAGGAGTAATCTTCAACGCGTAATTTATGTTTAAGTAATAAATATTTAAAAATTGTATGGTTTGATATGAATATTTTTTATAAAAAAAACAAATCGCAAGATATGTTGCTTAGCTCAATAATCAAAAACGGCTGGACCAAATCGATATTTTTATTTATTTATTGCTTGAAGTATGAGGAAGATTTTTATGGAGAGAAAAGTTGAATAAAATATGAAAAATTTAGTTTTTTAGTACTTAGAGCTTTTTTCCAAAACGTTCCAGTGATGTAGCTACTACAAAGGTTGCTGTATCTACAGCAACCTTCTAAAACTAAAGTTTTCAATTAAAAATATACTCGAAATCATTATATAATTAGTTTGATTTTCAGAACAACACGCGAATTCGAATAGTGTCATAAGCCCAGAAACTGCGGAGAAACTTAGCAAACTTCATGAATGTGGAATTTGTAAGAAGAAATTCAGGTAATTCTCAAAATACGTTAATTTGTGACCAATCAAACTTTTTTCTACAAAAACTCAATTTTCTAAAATGGCGGTTGTTTACGAAATTATCAAAATTTTTATTGAAGTTTAAAAAAATCGTTGTTTAGTCATATTTAATGTGAGATGAATCGTTTGGTGGTTTTATTTCAGGTTCTGGTATAAGTTTGATGATTAAAGAATATCACTAGTAATTTTGACGTAATCCTTAAAAAAATTCTTATTAAAAATACAAAAAACGTGTGTGTACTTATGTACACGGGTTAGAAGTTAAACGTTTGGCTTTTAATCTTTTCAAAACTTTTATTCTACGTTTATAGAAAAAACGACACTAACAAGAAAAAACTAAAATGTTGGCTATAGCTAACTTCAGGTTGTCGGTTTTTTGTGACGGTGTGCGCGCGCATCGTAATAATTTACTCTTATCATTTTTTCCTAAAGTGCCAAACGAAGTATAACTTTAAAATATATAAAAAAAATAAAAAAATCTATCATGTATAACTTTGTCTAGTTACAATATTATATGTATACTTCCAAGGTAAAACCCCTCAGTGGTAATTTGTGTCTTTGTATGTGTATAATTTTTAAAATTAATTTGGTGCGGTGCCTGCCCTTTTTCATGTTCTTTAATCCACATTTCAGTTCTCGTCTCGTCCTATCCGGTCACATGAACTCTCACACGGGCGAGCGTCCGTACACGTGCGACATATGCGATCGTTCCTTTGCATCGCGCTATACGCGACAAGCGCATATGAAGACGCATACTGTAAGTACTTGTACATTTTCTTCTCTCTTTATACAATGCCCATGGACATTGGACACTCGTAGGGTAAGTCGAAACTTAGTATAACTATTTATGTGTAATTTTGTATTGACCCTTACTATTGACTCGAAATTTTACCTATGTCAGAAAATTTCTAGTGCGTTGCCGTCATTTATATCATTTTAGTATAAGATCCCGATATACAACGACCTTCACCGAGATGCTTATTTAATGAAACGTATTTTATATTTAATTTAATATGTCAATAAATATAATCCATATGGGTTGCCTAGCAAATTTCAGTCCAGAGTATGTTTAATTAATATTTAAAAAAAATATTTTTTTATAATTTGCATGTAGTAAATTTTTTTAATTTTTTTCAATCAATATTTTTAATCAGGGTAGTATTATATATGTATCACTATAACTTTCTTTTTTACTAAAGATGTATATATACTTTAGTGTCACATAAAAAATATACACATAAACAATTAATTGATTAAAAACAACCTAACGTTTGTATATTCTATGGGCTTCATACTTTCGATTGGTATAGAATTTATCTAATAATCATACCGGTGAAATGTTTAAAAAATGTTTTTTTTTAAATATTAATTAAAATACTCTGGACTGAAATTTGCTAGGCAACCCATATGGATTATATTTATTGACATATTAAATTAAATATAAAATACGTTTCATTAAATAAGCATCTCGGTGAAGGTCGTTGTAAATCGGGATCTTAGACCATTTATTATTCGTTACTTGCTGAGGCCCCACCATGATGATGGTATACAGTCCTCAATGGATCTAAAATAAATAATTAATTTGTATATTTAATTTATAATTGAATAAATCTTGTTTATCTCCAATGTGCGTTATATATAATGTTAACGTAAAATTGTAAACTATCTCGCGAGATTATAAACTGTCGAAAGATTGTGAACCTCAGCGTACTGCTTACAATTTAACGTATTATTATTCGGTAGATTGTAATCTATCGAAGTGAAACCGTCAAATTGTGAACGGATCGCACCTTGCGCGCTGATTGGTTGAACGGAATATGCCCCGCGCCACCATATTTGTTTGTTAATTCGTTTGTTGTCGAATGTAACTTGATTGTTTTGATTACAATCTAACGGTGTTTACAATTTTACGTATACACGTTTTACTAGAATTAGTATTTCGGTGATATTCTAATTATGAAATGAAATACAGACTTTTATTGGCATATTTTATTTACATACTTCTTTAAGAAAATTAAAAAATTAAATTAAAGCATTATTGTCCTAACTAAAAAATGCTTTAAAACAATTTTTTAATTATTAAAGTACAATGTGTCCCGACCAAGGTTTCAATTAAATTTTAGTACACATTTGTGGTGAGCGCGCTGGTTCCGAACCAATAGACCAATAACAGACTTGTTTCTTTTATATTAATTTAATGTAGCTACCTACAGCCATGAGATTAAATAAAGTAGTATATGCAACTGCATATAATTAGGTATTAAAACACCCTTATTTAAAACTACATTCATGTTTTAATACCCTCTATTATATGACAGTTGCATAGACTACTTTATTTAATCTCATGGCTGTAGGTAGCTATGTATTTAAATACACTTTGTCAGGACCGCCCGCGTCCATACATATGCAATCAATGCGGGAAAGCATTTTTGACTCCCCACAATCTACAACATCATGAAAAGATACATTCCGGTACTAAGGACTTCGTTTGTAAATGTTGTGGTGAGTTCTTTTATTTATCTGGTTGTTAAATAATTAATGCGATAAAATTTTATGTAATTGTAAATGATATATTATTATCTGGCGTTAGGTAACTATTGACTAAATGTAATTAATGATTATTAAAGTATCTTTTTTACGCGCATCATATCGTGATCGTGTATTAAGCATTGTGTTTTGAGCATCTCTATAACAACTCTTCTTTTTATACTTAGATAGGCATTAATTACAATAAAAATATAAAAAAAACTATCGAAAAATTCTCATCCGTAAGTCATATTTCAATTCAAAGACCTTTATTTCCGTTCAAAGCAAACATATAATTTAATTCCCAAAAATTACTGGGCATTTGACAATAATTATATTAAATAACAAATAATAAAAAAGGCTTACCATAAAGTTAACGATTATCTAGTTGATAAAAGGGCCTGGGACTAGTGCTAGACAGGTTAATTACTACTTCTATATTTGCGATATTTGTTTTAAAATAAGTGTTGATTGATGATTTGCTATCGCTAAGAGTATGGAGAGTTTTTTACGCCGGCTTTTTCTCTCGGCCTACACCCTCTGTCTTCTTTGCCGATGAGTAGGGATTAATAATTTAATGACGTGGAATAAGTGATACCTGTATCTTATGTTCCATAATAAACATATTTTATTTTTCTTTTTATGAAACATACAGGTAAAGCATTCGGTTCCCAACACAACCTCGAAGTACACGGCGTGATACACACCGGAGTTAAACCGTTCGTGTGTACAGTCTGCGACAAAGGTTTTGCCCGTCGCGCTGAAGTCAAGGATCATATGAGAATACATACAGGTGAGTACTGAAAATGTTAATATCTTACAATATATTTCCCCCCTTAATTATAACATTGATTTTAAATATTATTTTCAACCAAAATTAAAAAATTGGACTTTGAAAAAGTTTATAAAATTGTACGTAAGACAAATTTTAATAAAATAAAGATGCAAATGCATAGAATGCTTTTGAAGCGTACAAAAACCAACATAACATATAATATATTATACAAGTACTCTTTTTACCGAATAGTCTTGGTCTAGGGTTCGGTTTCTAACAAAATAATAATTCCGGTTTTGTTCGCATAGTAAAACAAAACGCAAAACGTGAATCCGTCCATGCGTCGGGTTGGCTCTCTCCCTAAAATATGGCGAGGGGGCCGATGGCTGGCCATGCGTCATACTCGTGAACGGGTGCTACTTGTGGTGACTTGTCGTACTTGAATTCGTGTGATGTTAATTATTTCGACTATGTGTTTGCGTGTTGTTCCCACGAGAATGTAAGTGCGTGCTCCTATTTCACCATACCTCCTGCTGATAGAGGACAACTATTTGTTTTAAATTTTTGTTATTATTATTACTACTTAAGATGTCATGTGGAACATGGTTTAATGGTTGCAGCTCCTTACAAACGTTGTGTAAAAAAAAAACATGGCGATTAAAAAGAGTGGCGGAGAGTTTATTGCCAGTTCTTCTCTTCCGTTCTACGCCCTTGATTTGAGAACTGGCAGTAAATGTAAAATTAGAAGCATTAATATTTATTTCTTTACTGACAAGTCATAAGTGTACAATTACCTATATGATTAAATGATTTTTGAATTTCAATTTAAAAGTACCATTACATATTTATTGCATTTACAGGAGAGAGACCATTTGAATGCGAAACGTGTGGAGCGCGTTTCTCCCAGAGATCGAATCTACACTCGCATAGAAGGGCGACCCATCTTCAAGACAAGCGACATGAATGCCCACATTGCCCCAAGCGATTTAAACGACGACGGTATGTGAAATGCTACGTTAAATTTTATAATTTAAGAAATAAATATTTTTAACCCCTTTTAACAATATTTCTGAATTAATTCGTGAAAAACTAGTTAGCAGTACAGATTTCAAGTACATAATTTATTTTAGTAATGGCATAATATGACAGTTAAATGTTCTAAAAATAACCTATAATTTAAAATGTTTTTAAACAAAATATTTTTTTTTGTTTTAACCATGCTTTTAATAATCGTATAGTAACAGTTTGGAAAAAAATGTATTCGTTAAAAAAGTTGTTTTGGGTCAGATTTCTCAGATATTCGATGTTTAAGATTTAGCATAACAGGCGCTTTACTAAACAAATTAATTTTTAGATTATTAGAATACCACATAAAGTCCACTCACACGGGCGAGCGTCCGTTGCAGTGCACCGTGTGTGACGCTACCTTTATATACCCCGAACATCACAAGAAGCATATGCGTATTCATACCGGAGAAAAACCTTTTGTATGCGAGGTACGTAGAAAGTTATTTACGCGATCAAATATTTTAATAATAATAATATAGAATTTATATTAATTTAATTTAAATATCGAATAATAAAATACAAACAATAAATATACGATATTTATCGAAAAACCTTTAAAAAGTTAGACATAACTTATTCTTATTTAAAGTTTAATGTAAGTATGTATGTATTTTTATACCGGTTACCAAATAGACAAAACCGTTTCATTTATGTAATGGTTACCATGTTTGACTGCAGATTAGGTCTCAGGTACAAATCTCGCCAAAAATCCATAAATAACATTGCGATTATACTTAGAAAAAATAAAGGTTAATTATTATCTGTTCCATTAAATACCATAAAATACTGAACTGGATTTTCAAGGTTTTTAACAGGATATCCTATAGATATAAGATAATGTGTATGACTATAATCGAAGAAGTTTTTTCGCCTTAATATGATGATTTACTTATGCTACCTTTTTAGTAGCTACATACCGACATTTGGAACATATTGCCAATTTAAAGGGTTTTTCAAAAAGTCATCAGAATTCTCGGAATAAATCATAAAAATCAAAAAATACTCGAATTGGTCCAGCTATCTTCGAGCTTTGCGGCTAAGCCACATATTTTGCGATTTTTATAGATAATTATAAACTGCGCAGCCAAATTGCAGTCAATAGCGAGTCACGTATAAAAAGAAAAATATCAAATATTTGCGTCTGCAAGGCGTAATGTCCAAAACACATTGCTTACATATTTCTATATTAAATACAAATGTAATTTTTACAGGTGTGCGGTAAGGGGTTCAATTCCCGCGACAACAGAAACGTACATCGGTTCACCCATAGTGACCGGAAACCGTACGAATGTGTGCTATGCGGTGCCGGGTATATGAGGAAAAATCAGCTTTACCAACATATGAATATTACGGTAAGTCAAGGTAGTTAAACCATTCTCGCATCGGTCGGGAATATGATGGGGTTCTTCGACGTTAAGATGGACATGTTTTGGAAAAGTTTGGCTTACTAAGAAACCTTGGTATGAAACTTACAACTTTTTTTGTGGAAGCGGAGGCAAACGGTCAGAAGCTTTAGCTGATAGTGATACCGCTGCCCATGGACACTTTTAAGAATACTTTAGAATATAATGTCTATCTTTCATGACTAAAATGTTCTTTTAATATTATAAATCGCCTAATAATTTAGACGTAAAATCGCAAAATCGCTTAATAAAAATGTAAAAAGATTATGTATCTTTTGTAAGATATCTATGTAATAATGGTAAATTTTGATTTCAGGGCCATCTATCGGAGTCTATTGTTGTGAACCAACCGAGAGTCACACAGATCGAAGATGAGGTACTTTTTATTTTAATTAGCTGCTTTACAAATACATATAGTACATAATTATAATAAAACGTATATTAATTTTTTTTTAGGAATCAAAAATCCAGTCTGTTATCATAAGCGGGGACGGCAAAGATAGTAAAATACTGGAGACGGTAAGTTTCATATTTCTCACGTGCAATTTGTTTTCTGAGATTTCAATATATAAATATAAATTTCCTTTCGTCACCTTTTTTGAAATGCGACTTAGCGACTGTTAAGCAATGGCGAAATTAAATCTGTCTCTTGAATTTAGAGAAAAATGTATTACAAAATAAGGCTTTGGATGTAGCGGCGAGTTATAGCGACTGTTTTTTATGAATCATTTAAATTCCTATCAACCTCATGCAGATATTGCGACCGCGATCGGCGACAAAGACTCCAGCTTTCTTATCTTTTATTTACAATCACACAGATTGTTCGCAAACGTGATGACCTTTTGTTTATAGATATTGACTACGTACACGGGAACGTACACGCTTACCTACCTAGCGATCGCGTACGTTTCGGAGTTAAATTTATGGTTCAGTTAAAAATGATATTCTGGTAGCAACTCAGATGTATGTCTGTATCTCTTTACCTTTGCCTGTAACGATGTTCCGATATTACGACTACGTTACAGTGGTCCCTTTGTCGTCGCTATACCCTAAATCCGTTGTATATATTTATGAAATTTATCACATAAGCCTAAATAGATCATGAAGCTTGGATTCAGTCAATAAACGAAAAAGCTAAGACTTTTTGACAACATATTAATAAAAATATATTTTAATTTCAGGTGTACGAAAGTGATTTACAAGCTTTAGCCGCAGACGCAGAGAATGTTGGTAAGTTATCGTTTGCTAATATAAGTTAATTGTAATTTAAAAATATTAATTAAAACTATAATGTTTCAGTGGTGACGCAAACCGCAGCTCCGAGCCAATATATCTTAGCCACAGGTATGTTCAAATTGTATTTTAAACAAATCACTGATATAAGGTAATACACGAGACGCTCTAACGAAGTTATTCAAGCCGCTAAGGATAAACAGTCAAAATCTGTTATAACGACATCGAACGGACTACTCATATTTGGTAGTAGAAACCGATAGTCGTAGCAGCCGATGACGTTGTTATTAAGTACCTAATACAATAGAATTCAGCCGGGACCTTTGATTTTGGTCAATATAACCGGTATATAGTTCTAAACGATGTCGTCGTTAACGGTTTTGACTGTATAGAACTTGTCGACCTTAGACATTGGGGCAAGGTCTGTCCCTTTAGGTCGGAGGGAGAGTACACCATCCTTCCTCCAGATATTCTTTAAGCAGTGCTGACATCATGTGTATGTCGTGGCCGCCTCATGAAATTGTCATACTTAAGAACTTTATATATTTATTGATTCGGTACGGTAACATAAAAAAAAATCTTTAGTTGCGAATCGCTTCGCCATCTGTCATAAATTTATAGTGAACTTAATTTGTGTTTATAAAAATTGCTTTGGAAATAATGTTACTAAAACAAATTTAATTTCGATAAAAAATGTTGTAGTCATAAAAAAATACTGTCCCAGACTTTTTAAAACTAGAAGAAGAATGATGTATTTTTGCTTACCTTTCATCTAAACCCCTAAAAAGGAATATTTTTTTGTTTTTAGAAAAAAATTCATGAATACTAGCCTTCTATCAGTAGTAGCACTATGTTTCATACAGTATACAGCCTTTTTTTCTTTATATTCACTAAAAAAAAAGATTTTTAATACAAACCAGTTTTTCGTGAAATTAGCGCGCTCAAACAAGCATTATAATCGTAATATATATAAATTACGTGTCACGTTGTTTGTCCGCTATGGACTCCTAAACTACCGAACCGATATCAATCAAATTTGCACACCGTGTGTAGTTTGATCGAACTTAAAAGATAGGATAGCTTACTTCTCAATTTATACCCCGCAATATTATTTTATTGCAAATATTTGTTTGTTATTTGATACAATTCTAACAGATGGCGCTGTGTTAAAAGTACTAACGTTTCACATAAGTTCTCCTACCGTTTCCCTTAAATAGTTTACTACTATGTAATATAGCAAAAACCTTAGCCACAGCAACGCTTGGCCGAGTCTGCTAGTATAAGTATAGATAAATCGAAATCTCTTTTTGGATCTCTCGGCCCTATTAACCTCATTGAATATATTATAATTACAGGAACTAAAACAATGGACGAGATACAAGAATGTGAAACTGTGGACGATGATTGTACATTTATATCTATAGGTATGTTCTTTCAAATGACTAAGGACCATATTCTAAAACGTATCTCAAGCCTCGATCTCGTCTTGAGCGCTAACAAAAATGTCAAAACTCACATAGAATTATTTTTTTCTAGTTTCTAGAATACGCCTACGGGATTATCCTATTGTTTACGTTTGAAACTCCTGTTTGTTGTATGAAATATCTATAGATGATTATTTAAAAAAAATATATAAATTTTAATATTAAATTTCAGAAAACCTAGAACAAGCAGCTCAGATTGACGGTACCGTCTTGGAAAATCTCACATCTGATCAACTTGAACAAGCTCATGTAAGTGACTTAATAGCAAGCCGGTTTTGATAGAAATTTTAAATTTATTTTAATTTAATTTAATTAATTTAAATTAAAATAAAAAATTATTTAATTTTATATGATTTATATATTTAGTATATAATTGAGAAAGGTTTGAAATAATATAAATATGTAAAAAAAATTAATGTATAAGTGAAAAATCTGTAGATTTTTAATAATTTTAATAACATCAAAAAAATTCTTACGTGTTGAATTTTATAATAACATTATTTCTACTTTTTTTCAGTTACTAAGCGACGGTAATAACACGCTACGTTTAATTCAAATACAACTTGCTGATGGCGGTTGTGGGTGGGTTGCGGTCAGTCAGTAGACACACTTGTTCAAGATTATTTTAACGAGAAAGGTCAAATGAGTGACTGCGAAACTTTCGTGAAGTTTATTGACGTCGTCATTTGTCAAACGTCAATTGAGGAAACTGACGGAAAAGAGCGCATAGCGACTTACAGCGACTTTAATATGTTGAGAGCGCAGTATTCTAGTTATCAGAAAAAGACGGAAAGAAAAGACAGCGATTATAGGAACTATTGTGAATGAGTTTAATCAAATTAATTAATAAACGATCAAATGAACAGAATAATCAAAATATTGTAATCTGAAGCAAATGAATTATCAGTTACTGTTGTGTATATTATGCCTAATCTGGATAGGACGTCAACTTCATAGTGTAATTATTATTGTATATACAAATTTGTCGTTTGCATATAAAACAATCAAACTTCTATAGATCTTTGTTTTCAAAATAACGTTCACGTAGAAAACTATTTAAATTCCAGGTTAAAGAGTTAAATGTTTAAAATAGTATACAATAGTATAGTTCAGTGGTGTCAGTCGAGGACCGTAGAATAGAAATTCCCTAACCAACATATCAGTCAGTATTTTCTGTCATGTACATTATTACGATTTCATCACAAGATTGGCTATTATGGCATTTCGAATAATCTTTTGAACCTAATCTGGTCAGACTTTAATATGGCCTATTTTGGCGGTTAGCAGAATCTACAGACAAGTTTATTCAAATCGTTTGTGCCAATTTCTTCATTAGCTGTTAAGTGCTAATATCTGTGGAAATGATTTCATTTTCAGTAGTCATAAATTATAAAACTAAAAAATGTACAGACTAGATGTAATATGTATAAATTCTTCTTAGTCAATTATATATTTAGTGATATTTACTGTGTAGTGTAACTACTAAAAATCAAATTGTTTGAATATTTGTTACTTCAGTTCCTATAGGGTGTGATGTATAATTATTCTACAATAATTGTAATTATAGCTCAATGCTGCAGCAGTGATATCAGATATCAGCAATATAAGATGCTTAGCGAGCTTCAAGTATTACGTAACGAATTTGGGGGGGCGGTCCTTTTGTAAAACGTTACGATGCGGCGCGGGGATAGAATTACGCGTTATTGTTAATATTATTTTCGACTTTCCAGTACTTTACACCACATAATGGTAACTTTTAGGTTTAAAGAGTCACGAAGCGTTTTACTATACTTGGGTACAGTACTGTAGAAAAACGTTACGGCGTTTTACATGGAGTGGGGGGTCAATAATCTCCAAAAATTGCGTGACGTAATACTCGAACGCTCCCTTAGGCCCGAATTCTAATTCGTATCTCAAGTCACAATCTCGTATATAGCACTATTAAATCCGTCGAACTTCATAAGAAATGTTTAACATCGCTTAGCGTTTGAGAATGTTTCACAACGCACAAAATATTTTTAGTTTGACGGTGATGTTCCATAAATACTAGGGAGTATATTTCTGAGCTTGTATTCTAAAGATTTTAATAAAGCAGGTGCCTGACTAATTGAACTACTGAGGCATCTTGGTATGAGAATTTGAACATTCGTCACACATTTCAATATCATTTCACATTTAAATAAAACGTCTCAATGTCTACTGTAATGTAAATATACCTACTTGTGTAAATACTGAAAGTTAAATCAATAAATGTTTCTTTACATGTGGTTGTTTGTTGTACTAGCTTTCATATTCAGGTTCCCCAGTTCAACAAAACCAATTGGTAATGTAACTGAAGACATAAAAACAAAATAGATTTTTGTTTTAGACATAGTTCTATAATTTGTAATAATAATTTTTTAGTTATAATTACGTGGTAAATAAATTAACGATATTTAAAAATATTTATTTTCAACAAAGTAAATATTTAACAAAATTGTACTATCACCTCCGCTGTCCCATACTGCCCATAATGGTACCTGAAGTAAAAAAAAATATTACAATATTCTATTCTTAAACTACATAGTAATAATTAAAAATGGATAGATAGACAACTAGAACCTATTTAAAAAGTTTAGTCCTGGTACCTTTAATAGAGCATTACCTAGCTATCTTTTTCACTTAACAATTTAGATATATATAATAGGATCTATTAATAAAAGTTTTTGTATCAAATAAAACACTTCTCACATGACATGTATGCATGTATTAATACTCACTATATCATTGACAGACTGTTCCCCGGCAGGTGTCGCCATACAGAGGGCAGGGTCGCTCTGATACCTTGAGCGGCTCACATTTAGCGCACACTTGGATTACCCTGTAAAACGATACGTTAACCTTTATGTATGATAAACTATGTGCTATATCTTTTATGTATACTTTGCTAACTAATATTCGAAAAATGAATAAAATACATCAAAATGATCTACCCATAATCGCCCTTTTCCATCCACTTCTCGTCGATGGTGTTGAGTTGATCCGCTTTGCCTTTGGGCAAACCGCAAATGAGGTCCGCTTTAACTGTGCGAAGAGCTGCTACCGGAGCTGGCATGAAACCTGTAGGTGGAATTATTGAATCAATTGATAATTAGAATATTAATTCGTATACTTTACAATCATACTTAGTTAAAATATTATGTTTTAGTGGTTGGAGACCAGGTCAGTCTAGATACCGCTGTATCGACATTGGAGAAGGATCGCTGCAGCTGAAAGCCAGCAATTAGCGGGAGGCGGCAAAAGACAGGGGCGTTTTATTTAGCGTTTTTATGTTAATCGAGAAAAAATAATAATTCTGCCGTAAAGACAAAATCTATGGAAGTTTTTAGAAACAGAAATAAAACGTCTTAATCAGAGTTTGTAAAATTTGTAAAGGCAATTCACTTACCCTGTAGCGCTGGTTCGAATCCTGTCATGGGATTCCAATTTTTCTCTCCGAGCAGTTTTCGATAATTCAAATCGCCTTTGAACAGGACACACGTGGCGAACTGCAGTTTCCTATACAAGTCTGGATCATATCGCTTCATGTCTTTATAAACGTGGGGAGATGTCCAGAAGTCGTCACTCTATAAGTTTTCAATTAATTAGAATTAAAATCCAATATTTATTTTTAATGTTTTATATTAGTTGAGTTTCTCGTGAATTGTATATTTTTAAATTATTGCATTTCCGTGAAAAATACGTATCTTTGACGGCCTCACACTTTACGGTGTGAGTAAATAAGTCTAAATAAGTATAATCAATTATACTAACAAGAACTTCAAAAACACCATCTTGAACAAATTTCTCCCACTGTCCCCCGAGCTGTCTCAAACTGTCCGCAGATATCACTCGCGGGGGCTCCGGCTCGGCCGGGGCTTCGCCCTCCGCTGGTTCTAGAAAATATAATTTCATGACAGTGATAGGTTTTCCAGTCTAATTTAAAAATTGTGAAGGTTTTGGTTCTGCTGTCTTTAATCATACCTGGTTTATGTTCCGGTGGTATTTCTCTCTTGTAATTTCCGTTAGCACACGATCCTATGACATATCTGAAAATTCAAGAATTCACACAACACCTCTGGAAGTAATAAACCGACTTTACACATTTTATTACAAACCTATCCGTAAAAGGTAATCTATTTAAACAAAAACATAATTATAAAACTAAAAATACTCACTTAAAGTCCCTAGGTGTAACATCGGAGACGAACCAAGGAATCGCTTTGACATGGAATCTGACCTGGAAGTTTCAAAATGAATGTACAATATGGGTGTCATTAATTATCAAGTAATTGACCCGTAAGCCAGTTTTTAATTTAATGAGAAGAACTGGCAATGAAACTCGGCGTGACTCTTCAATCTGCTACTATCTCTTCTTCTAAGCTTCAACCACACTGGCTCCAGATGACATAGAATTAATTTTCATAATAAAAATATATGAAACAAACAAAAGCATTCGACTAAATCATATTTGAGTGATTTTTACAAAATTTATCATTTATGAAAAATATGTATTTTTAAATATACAAGTCACAAAATGTGAAAAATAATGTATGTACTTGCTAAATAGGTATACTATACTTTTTATTTCCTGTATAATATTAAATTTTACTGTCTTAAAATTTATTATATTATTTGAGATTTTGAATGTTAATTAAAGGAAGAATGCGTTTCGTTTTTTTTTTTTAAATTTTTTTTTGTCAAATGATTTCTCGACAGCCAGTAATGGTACAAAGTTCATAATCGATCTCTTTGGTGATAGAAAAATTTACGAAAAATAGTCCCATTTAACTCATTCCAAATTCAAATCCAAATATTGTTCTGGATGATTTATTAATAAGCTATTTTAGTTTCTGTTTGAAATTTCTTTTAGTACTTCAAACGTAAAAGGCGAGGTCTTCTGAAGTAAAATATATTCAGAATTATGTCAAATATTTTTTACCTTTTGTACGACTTTCTGTGCGATCAGGAAATGTGCTAAGCAGAGGTCGGTGAATAACTCGTAGCCAGAGTTGTCGCATACTATATCTGTAAAAAACAAATGTCAATAGATAAAAATTGCTATATTTCTGTACATATCACCGCGATATAATTTTAATTTCATACTTAATAGTACGTCATAAAAAAAAATTATTACGGTAAAGTGCAATTATAATTAAAAATTACCGAACATGACATCCTGTGGTATAGTGAACTTTGCTGGACATGGCGGAAGTTCGGCGGGTTGTTCGCCTTCCGCTGGCGCAGGCGCTTCTGCTGGCTGTACAATATTAATCAATTACAAGCCACGACATTAATATAATTTGAAATTCAAATACTGGACGCATCTTTTAACCGAATTCGAAAAAACCCGCAGGAAGTTTACGATGTTTTTTTGCCGGAAATCGTACGTCCACATTGGATTTTGATTTCCATTGGAAAAAATATTTTTGTTTTAACTAGACTAACTTCTTCAAATTAAAGTTACCAGAACCAACTAAAATTACTCATTCGTTGCAATAATGAAATACAATGAGACTGCATACTTTAACATAGCAACGGGCGCTTTAAAAAATGTCTTCCAGGCAACTATTATAAGGATATATAAAATAATATGTGGTATACAGTGGAAACTACAGATATACATTCAATGTTTTCTACGAATACGGCGTACTACTAACAAAGGCTAACGAATTTAATAATTAGATTATACCTTCTGTCTCTTTCAATCACAGAGTAAATACAATATGTCAGAATGAGCACTTGATAGAGTTACTGAACTAAATATAAAATCATGGTAATATATTTTTATGTACTTTTTCCTCTTGGGGACACAAGGGAACACCCGCACTTGTCGCCAATCTGTTGCAACTGCATTTAGCTTTAAGTGACGTATTCTGAAATATTTTTATCATCTTATTTGTAAGGATTTTTTATTAAAATTTAGAACATAAACATGTTTGTTTGTGACCGATTCTGTTTATGACAAAGTGACAAATGAACCATTCAAATTTGAACAGACTAGCAGTTCAGCTTTACCTCTGTGGCCTAAATATATCTTAATATATATAAATTACGTGTCACGTTGTTTGTCCGCTATGGACTCCTAAACTACCGAACCGATAACAATCAAATTTGCACACCGTGTGTAGTTTGATCCAACTTAAAAGATAGGATAGCTTACATCTCAATTTATACCCACAATTTAATTAAATTGCAAATTATTTCTTTACTATTTGACACAATTCTAACAGATGGCGCTGTGTTGAAAGTACCAACGTTTCACATAAGCTTCAATTTAATGGCATAGCCACCAAAAAAGCATGGTGATCCCATGACTGTTGTTTTCCTACCGTTTCCCTTGAATAGTTTACTACTATGTAATATAACAAAAACCTTAGCCACAGCAACGCTTGGCCGAGTCTGCTAGTAGTAATAGATTTTTACCATCCGAAAGTAGAGATTGCAAAAATTATCTACCCTGGTAGATATATATATATATATATCGAATGAACGTAGTACTTACTCCTTCAATAGCCTTTGCAAAACTCTCAGCTCTGGTAACCACTAAATCCGCTATTTTGGCCGAGTCGTCGACTAATACCTGAAAAACACATATACATATATGTATGTTACGTATATATGTACTTTTTTAATGTAAACAAAATGGCGTTACTAATTTAAGTCCATTTTTCATATATTTTGTACAGTCTTTAATGTTTTATTAACATCTTGAATAATATCTCTAAAAAGTTTTATATCATAACTAGCTGACCCGGCTAACTTCTTCGTTCCGCCTAACAGTCTAATAATATCGTGTTAACTTTAGTTAAACTTAATTTAGGATTTTATTAAGGTAATAACATTAATACAATAAATAAAAAAAAATAAAAAAGGGTGCGTGTACTTATGTACGCGCGTAAGAAGTTATACTTCTTTGGCATTATTAAAAATAGTTTTTGATTGCATGCAAATAAATAATTACAATTAAATAATCAAAGACTGGAAAAGGAGTCATTATAGTCAATAAAGTTCAGTTTACATTTGAAAAATTAAATAAATAAATATTTATTATCTCTTACATTAAGTGTAACATAAATTCTAATAAGTTAAAAGTATATATTATTATAAATTTAGAACATCTCTACCAAACACTAAGATGTATGTTGTAGCTTTAGCAGTATTGCACAATATAGCCATTGATTTAAAAGAGGAACATATCTCTGATGATGATGAAGAGACCCTGCCCTCACTACCAACAGTGCCCTCATCTCAAAATACACTGCGTGGAGCAGCAGTGAGAGCCATTTTTATTGATGAAAACTTTTAAGTTTGATAGTTCTTGATTTAGGTTGTTTTAACAATTAAGTTATTTAAACAAATAAAACACTATTTATCTTTAAAACATTTTTATTTCAGTATACTATTTATTTTTAAGTGACTCTAATGTCTTCATCAGAATTTCGGTTTGTAATTTTAAATTAATCATTACTTGGTTGTGCATCTCTGCCATATTCTTAACTCTATGTTTGTGTTCTATTTGGAGTCGCTCATTTTCCAGAGCCCTAAAGCTATGCATATATTGATACGAGGCCTCTCCAAAACTAAAACTACTACTTGCTTTCTGCAACAAATAAGAGAAAATTAATTTAAGCTCTGTCCATGCAAAATTTAAAAAATTTATAATTCATATTATACAAATCCTTCCTGGAAGAACAGTCTATAAATTAGTCAGATCAAAATCCGTTGTGTAGTTTAGAAAAACTAATTGCACATGCTACAGACCTGAATAGCAACTTTTATTCTATTTAGAGATAGAGATAATTTAAATATAATACCGGTGTCTTCCTTGTATGTTTCTTTGGAGTTGTTTGGGGATTCTTGTTGTTCAGTTCGACATGATTTTCTTTAACCTTTGGATTATAATCCTACAAAATAATGAAATTGTTAAGTTATGTTGTCACTGTTGTGCACACCTTTGTCTGGCTTTTCTAGTATTCAAGTTATGTCAAAACTGATTTATTACCTTATCATTGTTCGCTTTATTTGCTTTTGGGATATCAATTGATTCCAAAATGATTTTATTTGTAATATCCTAAAATATATAAATAACATCTATTATTTTAAGTATCATGGTGAGTGGTTCGCATTCAGGTGTTAAGGTGTATTATACCCACTGTCAATTATAAGTGGGAATGGGCTCACTTCTGGCTGGATAGAGTTTCGGTACTACAAGTGCAACATGGATATTCTGAGGTATTAGAATATCTCTGACTACCCTGTAGGGGAATAAAGTACTGTTGTGAGCATACATCATATTTATAATTAACATTCCTACCTCGACACCGTCACAATCAAATTCATTGAAATCAACTTCAAACTGTTGCAGTATCATCTCTGCCACGTCCATTGTGTCTGGAGAAGGTGATGGTGGCTATGGTCCACCAGTTTGTGATGTTTGTGGATTGTGTGTGTGCAGGTTGGATTGAGTACGTGTTTGCGGATTGAACATATGGAGATTGGACTGAATAAATGTCTGACTGGATGAAGTGTGTGTTTGCAGACTGAAAAGATGGGGGTTGGATTGAGTGTGCGTTTGCAGATTGAAAGGATGGGGTTTGCATTAAGAGGTCGTTTATACATTGAATAGATGTGCGTTGATCTGAGAGTTCAACAGGTTGATTTGATGCATGAATGTTTGAAATTGGTTCGGAATATGAGCTTAAAGTACTTGAAGGTCGGCTTCGCTTCGCTTGTGATCTGCATGAAGTCGATACTGACGGTGGTCTAGAATATGGGTTTGAATATAGTGGAGATGGTGTTTCACGTCTAGGTAGCCTGCACTGAATTCTATTAACAAATATGCCATCTATTTCATACATTATTAATTTACGTTCGTCTTTGGACAGTTCTCGCAGTTTTGTAGCCAAAAGCTTGGCTTAGAGATCGCAGTCATCATCTTCTTTAATTGCGGTATGTGATTGACGTTGTCCTAAAACATTAGTCAATTAACCGAATGCTGTAGCCATTTGCTGCTCGGCTGTATTAGGTACTGAGCGACGACGGCTATTTTTTGCTTGAGTAGGCTGCATCTGTGAGGTTGGAGTCCTTGGCGATTGTAATGTTCCATCACTTCGCTATCAGTTCTTTCGTTGTCGATAGCTTCATGTAGTTCCGGTGTTGTTTCATCTCCAAAAGGTTCCTTTGGTATTTGTGAATCATGTGATTCTGATGACGTTGATGGTGTCTGTAAAAAAAGTATTTTAATTAATTTAATGCTAATATATGCTATTATTATTTCAGATGCCCACAACAGCGGACGGTTGGTTAGATATCGATAAAGGATTTAGAAGAAAATTTCCACACTGTATCGGATCAATAGACGGCAAGCATATCGTAATGGAAAACCCTTATCACAGTGGAACCGAGTTTTATAACTATAAGAAGACTTTTAGCATTGTTCTAATGGCACTAGTGGATAGCAATTATAAATTTATATTTGCCGACATTGGAAGCCAAGGAAGAATAAGTGATGGTGGTGTATTCAACAATTCATTGTTATGGAAAAAAATCTGTGGAAACGAATTAGATCTACCCACACCATGTCCTCTTCCCGGATCAAATATTGATGTGCCATATGTCTTCATAGGCGATGGTGCTTTTGCACTCAGTACACATGTAATGAAACAATGATTCGGATTCACAAAAAAGGATATTTAATAAATGTCTGTCCAGATCCCGAGTTGTGGTGGAAAACACATTCGGAATCTTAAGTGCAGTATTTAGAATATTTCGACGACCAATTGATCTGGATCCAGATATTGTATCACAATTGACATGTGTACTGCTACACAACTTTCTCAGAAATCCGCAGCAAGATATACTCCTCCAGGAACGTTTGATGAATATGATGATAACGGCAATCTGACAAGGCCTGGATCGTGGCGAACAAACGCAGGTGGATATAACGCTATAAGAGATTTGCCAATGATAGCACGAAGATCACCTCTGAACGCTAGAGAAATCAGGGACGAATTTTCTTCATATTTTTAAAGGGCTATCCACTAACAATGTACCTACCTACATATTATGTTAAAATTATATAAATGTAAAACTTTTTTGTTATAACGCAGAATAGAATAGAAAAAACTGAAAAATAAATGACACAGGCGGGACTCGAACCCATGACCTCCGGCGTACCGTGCCGCCAGGAAAAAAAACTAACTATTTTTATCAAACTAATATGTACCTACTAAGTTACTAATACTACCTTTATTTAAATATAATGATTAAAACATACGAAACTAATTTATTTACCTCTTCTGTGTTGAGTGTAGCCCTACTGGTATAAACAGGCAGCAGAAAGGACTCCATTATCTGGTATGCAAACCAAATGGGTTCATATATCTCATCACTCCCTGAAAAATATAATTAATCACTAAAATGTTGTACCACAAACGGGAATCAAACCTGGGACCTTCGGATTTGAAACCAAACCAATCTTGGCCTAAGCCTAGGTAAAATAAAAATAAATAATTAACTAATTAATTTTTATTTTTAGCTTTGAAAAGGTGTAACTATACGTAAAGTAAACTTAAGTACCTACCTGCACCAGATCGCATAGATTCTTGTTTTTTCTTCAGATGGCGCCTCAATGTTCCCATTAGGGTATCCTTTTTTGTTTTCAAATCCTTGATTGACACATTTAGTAATCTACCAATTTTCGTCCAAGCATCATGAATTTTTTTCTTGTCCTTATGGAATTTATGTCCGGGGTTCCATAATACTTCTTCTTCCTGGTAATATTCCAGGAACGTCAAAATTGTCTCGTTTGACCATTCCGCCATGTTGTAATCTCCGATCGTAGCGACTTTCTTAGCAACGTTGAATGAAGATCCACTCGTTGCGAAAGCGCGGGAGAGACTGACTGCCTGCGCGCGTGTAAACAGTCACCGGGTGCCCGCACATTCATCCTTTGAACTTTGCCAAAAAACCGACACTTGCCCGATTCGCGGCATTCACGTTCACAGGCGCGTTCACGGGCTCGGGCGTACCGTTTACACGCTCGTGAATGTGAATGTGCACGTTGAACGCGCGCGTGTGAACCTACCATAAAATTTCACTCTTATAAATTTTTAATAACGCGCCTAAAGAAGTATAACTTCAACAAAAAAATTGGATAAGGATTAAAATCGCTTCTAAAATTAGCCATTTCTTGTCGTAAAAAGTAAATGACAAAAAAAATTTATTGTGGGATATCCACAAGAGATACCAATGGAATTTTCTGTAGACCTTTTCAATGTGTACAATACTTAGTACATTATTTTGATAAATCTCGTAGGGTTCAGCCTGCGTTTGCAATGTAAGTGGAAAAATTAAATTATTTACGACATCACATTAGAAACCTCAAAAATAACATTTTTTCTCCACTATTTAATGGATGTTATTATACATATAAACCTTCCTCTTCGATCACTCTATCTATTAAAAAACCGCATCAAAATCCGTTGCGTAGTTTAAAGATTTAAGCATACATAGGGATACAGGTACACAGAAAGCGACTTTGTTTTATACTATGTAGTGATAATTTAAAAATAGCTTTACATTTACTTATGTCATTCATCCGTCCGAAAACCCCATTTTAATCTATCTAGTTTATGATTATTAATATATTACCTTATCCTTAAGATCCAAAACCATTTGAAAAGGATCGAGGACATCTCTAGATGGCGTCGTCTTGACTCCTTCATTCTTTAAGGTAACTTGCTCACCCATAGACAACGATAGATCACATTTGTTGGACCATAGACAAATCTGAAACCGCCATTATTTAATGTTAAGAATGAACTAAAACTCATCGCTTATATATAATTACTTTTAAAAGACCCTTTTTTCCAAAATAAATTTTAATCAGTATTATTATCGTCCAAGAAATGTCTTAAAACTTGTAAGCCCTAAGCCGTAACATATGTATTTTGAAATGTATTATTTATTATTTTACATTTTTCCAATAACCGATTGGATTTTAATTCGTTTCTGAATTTCATCCTAGTTATTTATTGGATAAATAAAGAATGTTAAAACTTAGAAGAGTCTAAGAGAATAATATATATATATTATATATGTCCCCTGGCAAACGGGTAGGAGGCGCACTTAATTCCATACCGCTCGCCAGTGCGTTGCCGGCCTTTTAACAAATTATTTCCACCTAATTTACTAAGTATCTACCATAGAGTTTTGTAAAGTTATTTAATTATTTATTAACACTTTCTTGTATTATTATATAATACATATACAATCAGATAACATAAATTAATAATGAGGCAACCCTGCTGGAAAAAGACCAAAGAAAAACTAGGGGTAAAGTAATTTAGATAACAATGTATACAATTGCAAAATTAACATCCAAAATAAATTATTAGAATAATGATATGGAATAAAATAAAATAAAAAAAGTTACTCTTAAGAATCATGAATCCCTATTGATACTAGGTTCGAAAATACATTTAAATGAACATAAATTCTCTATACCTTAAGTAAAGAAATAAAGTCCGCTTTCCTCTTGTCTTTATCACTTTCAGGTAACATCGTAAGCAACTTTTCAGCCACAACACACATCGGCTCCATACTATTGTTAAACGATTGGTCCTTTTGCTCGTCAAAAGGATCAAAATTTGCTAATCCTTTTCTAAAATAAGTTTCACCTTTTAATTTATTATGAAGTCTATGTATTATTAAATTAGGTCTCATAAGTGAAGTTTTGAAGTGAAACTTCTTTGGGCGCATGAGGGTAAATTTTTTACGGAACGTCACGAATATGTGCAGCGTTTTTGTCGAAGAAAAGGGAGAGAGCGATCGAGACCGATTAAGAGAGAGTGAGAAGGATGAATTACCTTATAGAAATTCTATTTTTAAAATTAAAATTTCGTAAAGAGAATTTATGTAAGAAAGTATTTTATATTTTAGGCAAAATAATTTATTGAAATCTCAAAAGACCAATTGTAAATTAAAATGCCACGTGTTTTTATCATCGAAGAAATAAATTAAATTAATTATTTGTATTAATTTTTGGCACTTAATATTTTAATAACAATTAAATTCCTAATATATCTTCCTTTTTCCCTCCCTCTAAGTCTCGGAAATCTAAAGTTTAAGATTTGTATAAATATGAACAAGAGGTAAAAAAAATTGAAGCACTCGCATCCCTGAGGTAGGCTTGAAACCCCTGCTGTGACACCAATTGACTTTCTATGAGACACACTCGCTAGTAGGTTGAAGGAAAACATCGTGAGGAAATCAGCATGCCTTAGACCCAAAAACTCGACGGCGTCTGGCACAGAAGGCTGATCACCTACTTCTTTATTAGTGTTATTGCTTGTCATCGTGGTTAGATTTGTAAATTTTACATAATTATTTTCAATTGGTTTGTGTAACGAATAGTGTAGGATTAAAACGGCGACGTATAATAAAACTTTGCACATATCAAACTCAAATTCAAAATATCTTTATTCATATAGGTAAACAAGTACACTTATGAACGTCAAAAAAAAGTTAAATTTATTGATTAATTTACGTTTAACGAGGGCTTTGAATTTATTTAGCGATAATTGTCTAATTTCGCTTGGTAGTTAGTTGTAAAAACGAATACAATTTCCATATAAGGAGTGGTTTATCTTCTGGAGCCTGGTTGGTCGTACACTTAAATTAGTTCTATGTCGCGTATTATACTGGTGAAAGTCACCATTTGTTTTAATTCGTTTATATTTTTTTACATACAACAAGGCTTCAAGAATATATTGACCAGATAGTGTCATAATATTTAATTCCTAGGTTTGAGCGTACCATTCAAAAAGGCCGGCAACGCACTCGCGAGCCCTCTGGCATTGAGAGTGTCCATGGGCGGCGGTATCACTTAACATCAGGTAAGCCTCCTGCCCGTTTGTCCCCCGTTCTATAAAAAAAAACAAACAACAAATACCCTTAATCCCATTCACCAGTGAGATACTTACATCAATTCACAGCCCTCTCTCAATCTCCTATAGACGTAGCACTCAGTAAACACCCAGGTGTTCATAAAATAGGTTTGGGCGTCACAACTCTCGATCCATTGGTTCCATCGCTTAGCCTCAGGGGTGTCTACAGTTAATAAATCGTACTTTTTGTTTGTCACCAAGTCGTTTTTAAGTTTTGACACGTATTGTATAAAGGAATGGAGGTCATCGTCGGTCTGAAAAAAGTCAAATTATGAAATTATTTCAAGGTATGACGAGTGTAATGAGGACAAAACATTAAATATCTGTTATTTTTTTATAGAACTGGTGGCTAAGTGATACTGCCGTGTCGTGCCGTGTACTGTATTGTACTCTCAATGAGAAGCTCGCGAGTGCGTTGCCTTTTAAAAATTAGTACGCTCTTTTGCGTACTACGTGCGTGTGTGATTCTTGTAGTTTCACGCAGTGGCGGATTAACAAATGTTCAAAGTATAGGCTGTGAAGTTTTTGCCGCCCTTGTCTCCACAATTGTCATGTTCTAGAACATTTTTCAATCCAACAATTTCTTTGTTGTTGTAATGTTGCACATAAAATAATATAAGGGTTTGATTTTAGCACAAAATTATACACCAACCATCCAGTTTCCAGCGTCTAACCAGTAGTAAGACTGACATGTATGGGTTGATAGGGGAAAGAGAGAAGAGGGAATTACATTTTCTGCAATTTCACTCTTTTAACACATACAAAGTGTGAGCTGAGGGCGCAGAGGTCGAATACTGTTTGGGGGGCGGCGAACTAGCTGTTTTCCTCTAGAATATGGATGTTTGCTACACCGAATGAACAATGACAAGTGAGAGGGGAAAGTCATCAACAAAATTTGTTTTTCTATCTGTAAAATATCAGAAAACCGTCATGCAGGAATATTTTTGATTTCTGAGGTAGCAAAAAAAAACGGTTCCCAAATTTGCCGCCCTAGGCTCCATGCTCCAGCCTACTCAACCAGCTGGTAAATCCGCCACTGGTTTCGTACATCTATGAATACCGTTGTACTTTAAACGACTATCTGTTTACCCCTGTTTCATTCGTTATTTTTTTTATTTTACAATTTTAGGGAAACTTACAGCTAAAAAAGGTTCGATATTATATAATTAATATGATGAAGGCCAATTATCAGTTTCCACATTTAGCACTAATGTACGTCATATTATACGTTCATCTAATCATAACGTACGTTATAATTTAAAACTAATGTACGTCACAAATTCGCGTCTACCTAATATTGTACCATTTTATTTTAAATACTTTTTTTCAAAATAAAATACACTTGTTTGTACAATTTGAACCATGGAATCTAGGAGAGGGGGGAGGGGGGAGGATTAAGGTAATCAGCAGCTAAAATTTTTGTAACATAAATCAATACTTACACCACCGCTTGCGGATTTAATTTTTGATCCTTCTCTTGACACATAATCTATTACTTTGGTTAATATCACAGGCATGCGTTCTTTAAGTGAATAGTATGCGAAACTCCTGTAACAAAAATAAAGACATAAGGTTTTAACACTGTAAATGTCTTACAAGTTTTTCAACAAGCTATCTAATGTTAAAAATATAATTTAAAAATAAAAAATATCGCCCGAACAGGGACTTGAACCCTGGACCCTTGGATTAAAAGTCCAATGCTCTACCGACTGAGCTATCCGGGCTCTGGAAGAACCTTCGAAAAATGTCTAGATACATTCTTAATTATTTAACATACATAGTATCGTTTCTCTGATTGATACTAATAAAAATTTAGTGAAAAAATGAAATATGTATTATAAAATAAATAATATATAAAAATAGATTAAAGCTTATGCATTAGGCTTTATAGAAAATATAACAAGGGAGGTTGGGCCGCGATTTTTTATTAAATATCGGCAATTAATAAGAAACTATCATTAAAATAAAATTTAACATTTATGATCTTTCAGTATACTACAGACTAACTTCACTATTATTGTAGACATAAATTAATGATCTTCTTAGGTTAAGATCGACTATTGATCTTAAACTTAAGTGAAAAAAAAAAGGGTGCGTGTACTTATGTACGCGCGTAAGAAGTTATACTTCTTTGGCATTATTAAAAATAGTTTGGCTTTGTTCCACCTCCAGTTTTTGATGTTTTACAGCGATAAGATGACCACTCTTTTTTTGTATTCAATTTAGTGCACTTACACTGATTCATCAATTGTTTTTTGTCTCTTGTCCTTATATTTGCTAGAGAAAAATTACATGTTTTGATTAAACAATGTGGTAATTTTTTTAATCAAAACATTACTCGATAATAATAATACAAACTGATAGTTAACCTCAATTGTAATGAAGCACTTAGGAAGGTTGATGAGCACAGTTTTTCACAAATATTAATTAGTATTGGTTTAAATATTCAATTTAAATCACTTCTGATTATATATAATTCAAAAAGCATTGCTAAATTTCTTTGAAAAAATAATTAAAACTCCTTTATTTGTTTAAAAGGTAAATGACAAATGTCATTATGGTCATTCAAAATTCTTGGCATACGAACTTCACGCATATTCTATTTCTTTTTACTTGTAGATTGTCTTATTCCTATCTCGCTCGCGCACGCTATAATCACACGTCCTAATTTTGTGTCACAGGTGCGCGCGCATCGTAAAATTTCACTCTCATAAATTTTTCATAACGCGCCTAAAGAAGTATAACTTCAATTATATGTTTTATTACTTAATTATTTAAAATTTAAGAATATGAATATAGACATACATATGTGACAACTGAATGATATGATGATAATGTGGGGTATCTAAATAGTTTAAGAAGAAAATATATGAGTGTATGAATGAATTTATTATAAGTAGATTATTTTGAAAAAAATTGTTTCAGTAGTTTGTATACAGAATCTGCATCGTTGATAAATTAAGTGAGCAATTAGTAATTATTTTTTAGATTCTTATTAAAAATCAATTTAAAATCAATGACCATTTCACATGACAGCAAAAAGGTTGTAGAATTTGTTTGTTTATATTTGGGTGAATTATAGCTTGGACAACAAAGCTCTAGTTTTCTCAAAAATAATAATAAATCAGATTGAACTATGGTTTCACTTTCACTAATAGTGCGTATAATTGTTGTTGGAGCTTGAACGCGCTGCCACAAAATGTATCATTTTGTTGGCATAATCTACTGTGTAATGACTAGATCCCAGAATTAAACTTTTGGTATACTTAAAATATACTCTAAGCTATATTTGGATGAAAAAATTGGTTGATTTTTTTGAAAAACTAATTTGAAATTTATTTCCCACTTTGGAGTCCAAATTTTTTGAAAATTTATATTATAATCATAAAGGAAAAAGAAAGATCTATATGAGGCGCAAAGAGTGATATTAAAAAAAAAATGTAACATATTTGTGATCAATTTGAATCTATAATTAAGGTTTCATTAGTTATCCATACCCTTGCACTTTGTACCTAACACTTTAAGAAGTGATAAATTTGTTATTTTTTTTTAGTATTACAATATTATTTTTAATGAATGTTGATGCTTTGGTGGATGGAGAAATTGTGACCAATTTGTTTTCCACCATCTCATACATTTCTGTATTTTTTCAAATAAAATAAATGTAATTCCTAGCATCTGTAGATAAGAGGCGGAGATATTTTTTAAGCCAATTGTCAAGTCACATTTAAATATTAATCCAATAAGATACTTTATAACTATGCTATATAAAGTATCTTATTGGATTAATCTTAATAAATCATAAAGGTTTCTTCTTCAATCATAAGACAATGTATAATTTTAAATTACATACATTGTTTAAAGAACGAATGACAAATACAATGTTTCATTGGTTAAATGTTTATCACAATTACTCTAACTTAAAGATACATATTTAATTTATGGTATACAAGTTATTGATTCTATAAATGTCTAAAATAATTTGTAAACAGTTCTAGCTATACAAGAGAATCTTCATAGATGAGGATTAAGACTCAGTCTAATAGGACTGTTATAGTTTTTCTATAATATGAAAATGAAATAACCTAATGCTAATAAGTTATATAGTAAATCTACCACATATATAAAGAATATTTTGGTGAGCATTTGCTTTCAAAGTGTATTGTATTTTTACTGATTTAGATCCTAAAAAAACACAAATTATGCTATCACTGAGGGATTCTGACTGGCATTATTGTGTCATACGTACTTTTTAAATGATCCTTGTAGCTGAAGATTGATTGGCGTAGCAACATTTAAAAAAGGGGATGGTTTGTCAACTTTTATAAAAGGTCCACCGTAAATAAATTCTGGCGTAGTAGAGTAATCTTCTGCATCTCTATTTAGCTCTGTAGCAGAGGCAGGCGACGTTTGTTGCATTGATGTTTTACTCATTTTCTTAAACGTATTTCAGTTACAATTAATAATTTTGAAAATAAAAAACTTGTAGCCAATAAGCCGACGAAAATATGTATAATGTAATTTATTTTGGATTTATTTTATATTATTTTGAATTTTACATCTGTAATTTGACAATTGACATTAACAACACAGACTACATTACGGACAAGACTAAGGTTTTGAAAATGGTTAAGTGATTTTTGGAGTCGGAGTTGCGTCTAAGTATTAAAAATAATTACATATTTAAAATTTTGTGTAATGTAGTTAAATTCGTAAACAAACCGTGCATTTTCTACCTTTCTATTGGTTATTAGAGATGTGACATTCTGCATAAAAAAACGATTTTTAACTAATCGATTGTTTTTTAGCATGAAAAATCGATGAATAAAAATTAATCGATTCTTTTTATTATTAATCGATTATTTCCTAGGTTTTGAATTTTTAGAATATAATATAATATAAAAGTTTTAGAATATATAATCTCTTGGACCTGTCACAATCAAGGTCGAGATACCTACATAATCAGTCCCTGTTTTCCAATTACAGAGCATACATTGGCTGCACTAAAAGTATCGGGAATGGAATAATACCACTGTTCCTGTCATATTTAAATCTTTTTAATTGAAAACTCCTTTTTTTAAATCTAATAAAAAAATTTTTTTAAAAAGATTCTCGGTCTTTTCACAAAGTTTTGTCAAACTTGTTTAGTCGTTGAGAAAATGGAATTGACTCGAGAAAATTCAAGAGCGATGATTTATCATGACTTTCGAAGTGGTTTATCACAAAAACAGTGTGTTGACCGGATGATTTCTGCATTTGGTGATGAAGCCCCATCCAAAACCACAATTTATCGCTGGTTTGCTGAATTTCAACGTGGACGTGTCAAGCTCAGTGATGATCCCCGTCAAGGTCGTCCAAAAACTGCAGTCACCCAAGAAAACGTTGATGCTGTGCGCAAGCTGATTGAGGAAGATCGACATGTGACATACCGCGAAATTCTGGCAACTTTAGACATTGGCATGAGTCAAATACAAATAATCTTGCATGAACAATTAGGTGTAAAAAAGTTGTTTTCCTGATGGATACCGCATTCGCTCTGTGAAGAGCAAAAAGCGGCTCGCGTTACTTGGTGCGTCAGAACTTTCGAAAGATTCCACGCAGGATCCTTAAATGCTGTATACAACATCGTATCAGGTGACGAATCCTGGATATACGCGTAAGAACCCGAAACAAAAAACCAGTCACGAGTTCGGGTTTTCGAAAATGAGTTAAAGCCTACGAAAATTGTTCGTGCACGGAGTGTTGCAAAAAAAATGGTGGCCACATTTGTCTCCAAAACCGGCCATGTTGCGACTATTCCTCTTGAGGGACAAAGAACGGTTAATGCAGAATGGTATGCTAGCATTTGTTTGCCACAGGTCGTTTCTGAACTCTGTAAAGAGAACTGCAACCGCCGCATCATCCTCCATCACGACAATGCGAGTTCTCATACCGCGCACAGAACAAAAGAGTTTTTAGAGCAAGAAAACATAGAATTAATAGACCATTCGCCGTACAGCCCCGAACTAAGCCCTAATGATTTCTATTAGGGATGCATCGATACGCTTTTTTGCCGATACGATACCGATGCCGATACACTTATAGGAATATCGTCGATACCGATACCGATACCAACGCTTATTGAATTAAAATTAAATTAAGGTAAAATATATCTAGTTAAAGTTTATAATTTTTATTTAAAAAAATATACATATTATATACAAAAAATAGTCACAAACTTTGAATAATTTGAAAGGTTTTGTTACTAAAATTAAGAATTAAGAGTAATAATTAAATTAAAATAGATAACTATTATTAATTAAAATTAACAATGATAACATTGTTGTAATTCTGTATGATATTAAATTTGGTATCGAAAAAATACTACTCGCGATAGCAGTTAAAAGCAAACTAAATGATCTTCAAATCTACGTTCAATAAAGTCTCAATGATCTCCCGCAAGCCATAATATCTAATAACTATGCGCTGTCAAAGATAGTTGACTCGAGTAAAAATTTTGGTCTACTAATCAATCCAACAAGAGATTTTTGTACTAACTACTAACTGACGTGAGACTGATCGTAAATTATCGTGATTCATGTGCATTTTTTATTTTTCATGTAGACTTTTTTTAGTTTATATGTAATATGTATTTTTGCCCTCCTTTTCATTTAATTATGTTCAATTTTTATATTGTAATGCAACAAAGTGTTAATAAATAAATAGTGTTAAGCGAAATGAAATACATATATACATAAATAATAATGCTTTGTCCTCAAGCGAATGATAGAGACAACAAACTGAATAAAACGCGGGGATTTCTCCGGCAACAATAGTCCGTGGCTCGTTTGCAACAAACTAGATCATACAAAATGCGCGTTGACATTATTTTTTTAAAGCGTGAAATTTGAAAAGTATCGGTGAATCGGCAATGAAAATATCGCCGATGCCGATATATCGGCAAACCCAAAGTATCGCCGATATATCGGTATCGGCATCGGTATCGGATGCATCCCTAATTTCTATACTTTCCCTAAAATAAAGAATAAATTGCGTGGTCAGAGATTTTCATCACTTGAAGAAGCTGTGGACGCCTACAAAACGGCCATTTTGGAGACCCCAACTTCCGAATGGAATGTTGCTTCAATGATTGGTTCCATCGTATGAGAAATGTGTCAAATTTAAAATTCAAAATACTTCGAAAAGCAATAAATATATTTTTAAATAGTAATGTTGTGTCACTTCCTTGATTCCCGAAATTTTCAGTGCCTCCCTCGTAACGCGACTCAGTGGCGCACAATTCCGCATTATGCTGAAGCTTAATTGGAACGTGAATTAGTTTTCAAATGCATCAGCAGAGTGCGCTAAGTCAGTGTTGAAAAAAAATGTTCTGAATAGAGTTAGCAACCTCATTAATGTACCTATAAATAATGTGGTAAACAATAAAAATTGGTTGAAAACTATTTACGCTTATTTTAACAATCAAATTATTTCATTAACATTTTTTTACTGAAATAAGAGAAAACCTTTAAAGAATATAAGGTTAATAAGCTAAATTAGGAAAATATTTAGTTTCATGTAAGAAGTTTAATGCAGTTTTTTAAGTTTAAATGTTTAATTTTTCATTTAAGTACGTTTTGAGTAATTTTTTAAATGATTTCTAAAAAAATTATATACTTTTTCAAAACCATTGCAATGTTTACAAAAGTATAATCCTGTAAAATAAATTTGTTTACAGATACGAATTTTAAAATGAATTTCTATTCATATTTTAAATGTGGAATATAAAAAAAGTAACTATTTATAAATATATCCATACTTATATTTATTTTTTTAGCAGTTTGAAATAACTTTAATTATTTCCAAAATAATTAAAGTTATTTCTACGACGAAACGAAAGCCTTACAAATTTTTCAACAATAAATAATATTTACTAACGATAATTTCGATCAATGCCAACTTAAAGGAAAACTCTGGTCAATTTTCTGTCTGGTATTCATTGCGAGAAGCACGCGAGAGCATTAGGTACTTTTGAGAGTGCTCAATTGTGCGAACTGCGAAGCGTTGCTGTAGTTGGAACATTCAACGTTGAGCATTATGCCCCATAATGCGCTCTAGTGCTGTAATTGGAAAACGCCCACTATCATCAAATTCGGGCGACGTTAATTGTAAATCCAACCCTTTTATTATATTATTTAGTATTTATATATATTAAAGCTATACATGTTAACAAATAAAAAAATTGTTTTTAACACAAATTCTAAATCGAAATGTTATAATGTGAAAAAAATTTTGAGAAGGTGAGTTGCTTATGTTTAATTAAAAAAATCTTAAATAATAAAAACTTACATTCCAAAAATTCCACACATAACAACATTCCGTGGTGTAACAATTCGCATTACATGTAAATTTTCAGTATCAACAGGCCAATCGTAAGCCGGCATTGTTTTAATTTTTTTTTGTATTTATATATTTATTTGAATAGAACTGCGGCAATTATAATTCGCTGCACGACACACGTGTCCATTTCACCAAGAAACGTAAACTTATGTTATTTTCGTTTGAATTTCGGCCATGAAACTATAAATAGTACATAGTAGTAGTCTTACGCTCGCTTTTCAGTCGGATTAAACAATTTCTTCTTTTATCAACGTTCATCTTGTTCAAATGTTTAACGAGAATTTTATTTAAATAGAAATAACGTAAGCAGTCGATTACAGTAGGTAATATGTACTAATTATTAAAATTACAAAAATATATATTTCTATCTACGAATGAATATAATGAAATGTTTAATTAACATCAGACAGATCATTCTACTATAACTTGTATTGCATGCGTAAAAATGTTTATTTCCGTAGTCCACCACAAGATAAGTGTCGATAACTACTTGTACCACCTGCTCACCTGCTCACCAAACACATTTGTGTTTTTCATTTTGGCGGCCAGATTAAACCAAGCGTCGATAGCTCCCTGTACCTCATGCTGGCCTGGTACAAAGAATTGGTATACAACGATTTACATGTAAAATATAATTTTTTTGAACAATCATAAATAATCTTATCAATGAAGCCTGTTGCGGGCATTTGTACTGAAAAATCTCTAATACGTTCAGTCATCTAGCTCTAGGCCGCTTAAAGAAAACTTTTCATATTAATTGTGTTTTTTATATTGGCTGCAAGATTTAACCAAGCGTCGATAGCTCCTTGTACCTCCTGCTATCCTGGTGCACAGACTTGGTGTACAACGATTTACATGTAAAATAATATTTTTTTCACTAAGGCTGTCAGGACTGCGCCTGATATTATGTGTTCTTTCAGTCAGGAGAGGCCGTATAAGCAGAAATCATAATGGGTGGTTTCGATCCCCACCCGCCTTCTATAAAAGAAAGGCCTCAATGTGCCACTGCAATAGAAAGAAAGCTAGTCTTTTTTTATACTCACATTTATAGCTAA